TTTTCAAGAATTAAAATTTATATCAAAATACGTGGCACGTAAAAATAACAAATAAATTTCTGTTTTATATTCTGTGACGAATTGTCGTTTAAAACGCGTTTGAGAAATGCAAGAGGAACGTTAATGAGTTCTCTTTTTCAGTTACGTGCATCTTGTGTTTCCCGGAAATGAAATGAAAATCGTTGATGTAAAATCGACATTTCATATGCAGCTCAACATGATCGAGGAAGCGATATCATAATGAAACAGTGGATGATTATGTCGGCGGAAACCGTAATAGTAAAAAAAAAGCGCAGCTCGTTTCGCATAATATCCCAGATATTCCGATAAAGAGCAACTACAGCGACTACAGATTAGCCGTAATCACATAGGATATTTGTAATAGTGCTTCTTTTAATATCAGACCTAACGCGAACGATGAAGAAGTAAACGATAATTTCCGGTAAGCTTGCGGAAAACGACTCGGCGGTTTTCCGTTTGGATTATTTCATTCTTCTCTCTCTCTCTCTCTCGCTCTCTTTCTGTTTCGGTTCTCGCGCTATTGTTTTTGCTCGCTAGCCCATATAACGTTTATGATATTGACTTACCGTGGCAGCACTGTTAGCGGTATGCGCGCCGTATATTTATTTTGCCCGCCGTTTCCAAGCTTCACCGCGTCTTTCATACGGTACTGTGTTAGCTACGAGAAGCTCGGTTAATTTCGCGGCACCCTGAGAATAATTTGCGACACTTTTCCGCGAAAGATATAAATGAGCTTTGTTTCTCGTAAGAGAAGAATATATGCGGTATCTTCAATTTTGAATCCTGTGATCTCTCAAGTTAGATCTTTATTTGATCTTTTCATTTTACTGTAATGTCTAATAAGATTAATTAATGACACGTGTGTGTAGTTGATTAATAAGCACGATTGCGCGATGATAATTTTGCGATCCAGTTGGCTTAACTTGAATTTTTTTAGCATCGGTGTTTGAAATCTTATAATAACTTGTAATAATTTATTTGAATTAAAAAAGTAAAATAATTATATATCGATTTATTTATATAAATCGTTTTAAGTGATAAATTAAATAATAAAAATAAATTTTTGTATCACATATCTAAAAGAATAAAAATGCAAAATCTCGGAAATTACATGCTTCTTTAATCAAATTCAATCGCAATTCTTGTATATATATCATTTCAATTTAAGGATTAATTATGCAGTAATAAATACTGCAAATTATCGATGACATATTATTATCCGCTAAAACAAATTTTAACACGCAGCTTCTGAAACTAATCGTTAATTAGATTAGTTATTGACGATATGTTAACAGGAATTAGCAAACACAACGTATGCAAATATTTTATTTGCAACGCAATCGATTATCACGACACACACACACACACATTGCATGTAATAGTACGTTAAATATTTTCACTCTACAAATGTCTGTATGTATCTAAAATGCCTGAAATATTTATTAAATTAGTTACGATTTTAATGTAATTTCGTGAAATAGCTCTATTTCCTCATCGGGAATTAGTCATATCATGAAATAGCTAGAATTTCTCTCCTATACTAATTAAACTTCATTCACACAAAGTATCCTAAAATTCCGTTTATTTATAATTTTACTTGTAATTGTTTTAATAAATTTACACCCCATTTTTTTCGTGGGGACAAAATTTCAGAGGAACATTTAACATACATACATACACACAGTCTCGTAGTGTTCAACGTTAATAATTTAAATTAAATGTAACTGTAAATTGTGATTAAATGTTGAAGGCAAACTTTGAGAAAGTAAAGTCCATTTAAATGAATAATAAAGTTTCGTTACATTTAATAACCTCGCCGCAAAAGCCAAGTTTTGTTCGCAGCTACATTTTCGAGAGATCGTTTATATTTTAGAATATTTTATATCAGACTTGTACGTTTTAATTAAAGAAAAATGTATTCTAATTGATAAGAAATTTTATGATAGAAATGAATAAAGCTATTAAAACCTAGACAGTTTTAATTTCTATAAGTCTTCCCTAATAGTTGTAATTTTTACGGTGCTTTTCTATTGTTAATTCTCGCGTATTAAAAATCAACAAGAAACGATCTCAGTATAACAAAATAGACAGACTCTCAGAACTGGCCATGAGCAAACATTATTCTATGTAAAATATAAAATCAACTTTTAATAAAATAATTTTATATATACGACAGTAAGAAAAACTTTACGAAATAAAATTCAAAAGCAAAAATAAGCAATGGAATATTTGTGTCTCTTATCGTTTAATTTGAAGCAGATTTAAATGGAATATTAATATCAAGCTGTGATTTGAAGATATGGAGGTTAATAATTGAAAAAGAAAAATAGTATGTATATAATATCCTCATTATTTCCCTGAAAAAAGAGCATTTTACCGCGAAATTTATTTATTTATTTATATTATAGATATATGTTATAAGAAATATACATTTTATAATTAATTGTGTGTAAATAATATTGTCAATTAATATTTTGATTATCAATTCACGCATTTAAATATTATAAATAAATAAAGAAGTATTTGCTAGCGCTCTTTTCTATTGTTCGTATTGTATAATTTATTTTGAAGCTTTATATGCGAGATAGTCTTTTGATTAACCGTTACTGATAAGTCGTGTTTTATTTGTTACATTCCCAAGATGCACGTCAGAATTTAAAATCTACTCGCGTCGACTTTCAACGCTACAACGCCGCAGGAAAAACATTCGATTTAAAATATAAATATATTATCGTACGTCAAATATTAATATATACGTATTTATGTTCGAAATTTTAATGGTTTTTCGTAAATGTGAATTGTTTTTGCCCTACGCTACGTTTCCAGGAAATTGCGCGTCGCGCGAATCGTCCTTCGCGCAAGGACACGACGCCATCTGACGCTCGCTCTCAATTTCGAGTCCTCTTCCTCGTTTGAAAAAAAGCGAATTCCTCGCGTGACGTAACGCGACGATTTTCTCGTCTCGACGTTAACAAACGTCGATTTTTTTTTCTTCTTCAAAACGGAACAAATGACGCTCGGATCTTACGCAAGAAACTTCTCGAGAAATGTATGTCGCCATTCAATAGACGGATTCCGCGTTTCTATTCACGGCATGGTCATCGACGCATCAGGTGTCAGTCACCCCGAGCCGTGAGAACGTCGAGTTTCGCGTGCGCGCGGCTACCATACGCACGACGCACGCATGTACGTACGCACCATCTTCGTGTCGCGAGCACGTCAACGCGACACGAAAAAAAAAAAAACAACGATCGTGCGTCGCAGTGCGTGTTATTCCGCGAGCGCGTATAAATAGGACAATTCTATTACGGAATAAACGTGAGACTTGTCGGGAAAAGTTCGATCGTCGAATACTCGATATTTCTCTCTTAAAATAGCCATTAAATCTCTTGGATTCCAAGTAAAAACAATGATCGCCACTCACCGGTGTTACGTTGACCGTGGCAATTCCACCCGTGACACGTCGTCGACGTCGTCTTCGTTCGTCCCGCGCGGCCTTTCACTCTTTCGCAATCAACGAAGAAGATGCGGCGTCCTCCGGATTCCTCGTCCTCCGCGTCCTCTCGATTCTTTCTTCAGTTCACACGCGACGCGACACGAACGCGATGAAGCACCGTGAAACGCACGAGCGTACGCGGACACGCACGAACGCGACGACTGAGAGACCAGGTGCGGAAGATACCTCTCCGAGCGCTCCCATCGGTCAGCTGCGACTGACTGACTGGCCGTCCGCCGGCACAAGGAGGGGAGGGGGAAGGGGCGCGACTCGCGCGCCGCCCCGCGCCGCCGCAGGGCAAGTTGGATAGTACCGTCTTTCGCCGACGGATGGCGCTGTATTGCACGCGCGCGCTTGCAATATTTTCCATTTTAAACACGACACTGAAATGCGATATTTCGATCAAATTCCGATTAACTTGATCCGTATATACGACAATCGCTCGATATTTTCTCGGCACTCCCGATATTACACGCTTACTTGCAGGCGATGTTTTCTTATTTTCAGTAACTTAAAATCGTAACCGAAACGCGATGAGTCAAGTGATTATTATTGTAATATATAATTGTTGATTATCGCGATAATAGCACACCGATCGATTAATCTTCAATATTTACGATGCTCCATCGCGATTATATCCACATCACAAGCATCTCGACACCATAAATAACCGCGTATAATACTTTAGACAAGCGTGAAGAGCATTACAAGTTTCAACTTTGGATGCCGTTAATGCACTGTGGTCCGATTCCGAGATTTCTAGTGTAGTTTTACGCGAATCAAACATGGCTGCCGTGACGTAATCATTGAAACGTTATTTTGAAAATATTGAAAGCGAATCTGAAAAACGATTTCGATCAAATTCCGATTAGCTTGATCGTATATACGTAATAAAAGAATCGAAATTTTCTCCGCGCTCCCGATATTATACGCTTGATCGCAAGCGATACGTATTTTCAGTAACTTTTAAAATCGTAACCCGAACGCGATGAGTCAAGTGTTTCTTATTATCGTAATGTCGCGTCGTAATATATAATCTTGACTATCGCGATTATAAATTAAAATAAACACAGATTGATTGAATTCGTTCCTTCGATATTTATGATATTTCACGCGATTATACTTATCTCACAAACGTCCCGACATCACAAAATAATCGTCTCAACTTTAGATGCCGTTAATGCACTCTGTGGTCCGATTCCAAGGTTCCTTGTGTATTTGACGCGAATCAAACATGGCTGTTATGACGTAATCATTTGAATGCTATTTTCTATTAAACATAATATTGCACATATAATATTTTATCAAATATAAACGCATGATAATAATACACGACTGAGAATCATGATAAGATCGGACAAACCTTCTTGACTGCTGAGATATAATACTAAACGAGAAAATATTTTAAACAAAATGTCATGAAAAGACGGAAAAACGTAAGATGAAGGGAGAGAGAGAGGGAAGCCTTGTGCGCGTGCGCGATCAAGCTCGCTTTCCTTTTCTTTTTTTGCGCGCGACATCAACATAATTTTCAAAATAGTGTCTCGCTTAATGATTAATCAAAATTTTCTATGATTTTCCGTGACATTACAAAACTTTTTTGAGCGTTTCCGATTGATTTCAGACCGACTATCGAGTAGAATTTTCCTCGGAGAGGAAATTTTACACCGTTTTGGAACCTAACCTAGGGATATATGCTCTAACGAAATCGAAAGGCGAGATAATCTCCGCGCAATTATTTGTGGTAGGTATATTATAGGAACGCTTGGAAACAAAAATGTAAACAATTCTTCATCGACATAATTTCTGTTTTGACTAAAACAGATTTAATTCACATGATATAAACTCTCAAAATATATGCTACAACAGAATTGAAAGTCAAAATGATCTCCGCGCAATTATTTGTGGCGTGTGTATTATGGAGGAACGCTTGGGAAAAAAATATAAACAATTCCTCATCGAAACAGTTTCTGTTGACTATTCTCATGGCTAACAATAAGCAAAGTCAAGCCAGTCGACGAGTCGACGAATTTGGATGAGAATTGAAACGTTAAAAATTCTGCGACAATTAGCAAGCATAGGATATTAAGCAAAGGGATATTAAAAAAGGCTGAAATGGCATCAAGACGATTAAAAGTCGGAATTTTAACTAGTACGTATCGTGATGAGCATATTCTTCATGTAAAGTATACTATATGCATATAGAAAGAAAATATATTAATAGATATAAGACTCACTTTTAAAAGATACGTTACACAATAAAATACTTTAGTACACTGCACTTAAAGATTAAATGTAGTTACACGAGTGTTAGCTTGTTTAATATCTTTAATTGTTGTTATAATTTTATGTAGTAGAAATAATTTTCACTTATTTTATACTTGTCTAATATATTAAGATTTCTTTTCACAATTGAAAATGTAAAAATATTTAAATCACATTATAACTTAAAAAATACATTTAATCTAGACTTGGCTGTGTATTATATATACATATATATATTCCAAATTCAAAATTTAATGGTTGCAATTATCTACTCTATAATAAACATATACATATGTATGCAAACATATATATATATATGTTTGCGTATATATGTATATGTTTATTATAGAGTAAATAATTGCAACCATTAAATTACTAGAACTTTATATATATAAAGTTCTAATAATTATTATAATTTTATTTATTATAATTATTTAGTACATAGCAAATTGGACATACATGATATAAATGCTGATGTGGAAGAGATATGTATATATAACTCTGATATAATGGAACTCATTGATTATAGTAAACGCGTAGTAAGGATAAAAATTGGTGCAGAAATAATTGATCTAATGTTAGAAATTGAGAAACATGCTATAATGGTAACTATAGATATTTAAAATTTTTTTTTATATTGTATGTGCTTAAATTTATTATAATTTATTTATGCAATATAGGACACAATATGTTGTTGGTGCGATAAAGAAGATGAAATTGATATTATTTTTATTGTTGGTTATCCATTTTCTTGGGCTGATATACATCTTGAGAATGACTTTAATGAATTAATCAAAAAAATGATTAATGAACAAGGTTTTAAAAGACACACAGCAATCGTATCAAAAATAAAGATGAAATTAGAGTCTAGATATCATCGGTAAAGTTTTATTTTTACATATTTTATATCTTTATTTTTAAAATTACAACAATAAATGTATTCTCAGAATTATATGTGGAGAACGAAATAACACGCTAATCATTAATTTGTTTGGCTTTTACCATGACTGTGACCTATTAGCATGCTTTGATATAATTGCAACAGTACTACAGAATGAAAGAAAATTGATAGATTATAAGAAATCAATGCAAGATATTGCATCTTCTTCAAATAATGATTGTACAGATCAGGTATACATATATATATATATATATATAAGATACACTTTCTATGTTTTAGAAGCAATGTAATAATATTTGTACATGCAATTAAATCTTACAGATAGGGGGGAATAAAATCAAATCCCATGAAAAATCTATACATGATCTAGATATACACGAGGTAAGGTACTTTCTATATTAAAATGAAGTAATAAGAGAGAGAAAAATTTTATGATATTAAACATGCAATTATATCTCTCTATAAGAAAATATTATGTCGAAAATCGTATTTATAACGAATTTTTTTCTTTATCTAAACTTTATCTTTATCTTTATTTTTACCTTTAAAGAAACTAAAGTACTTTTTATATCAGAAATAATGAAGTAATGACAGAAAAAAAGAAAGAAAGAGAGAAAGATTGTATGAAATCGTATATACAATTAAATTTTTTTACAGGAAGACAATATGAATAAAGCGAAACGCCATAAAGAATCTTCTAACAAATTTATAGAAGAGGTAATGTATCTTCTATATTAGATGTAATAAAATGGGTGAAAAAAAGATTTTAAAATTGTGTATATGTAATTAATCACTTTATAAACAAATGACAAGAATAAAGCGAAACATTATAAAAAATTTTCTTGATGAATTTATAGAAAAAATATTTTTTACATTAGAAATAATAAATGAGAGAGAAAAAGAGATATAACATTTTATTTATGTATGCAATTAAATATTTTTACAGGCGGCCGACAGATATGAATCCGGATATTACAAGAAATTATCTTCTTCCTCTGAATTTATGAAGCAAGTAAGATATTTCCTATATTAGAGACAATGAATGAGAGAAACAAAGAAATTTTATAAGATTGTATGTACAATCTTATTACAATTATTAAATCTCTTTACAGCCAATAGTCGCGAAAGAAGAAACTATTGTCAATGAACCCTCGACTTCGTCTGGTAAAATGGTAAAGAAGGTAAACTTTTATAAGATTGTATTTAGTAAAAGTGTAAGAAGATAAACTTTTATAAGATTATATGTACAATCTTATTATAATTATTAAATCCTTTACAGCCAATAGTCGCGAAAGTAGCAACTATTGTCAGTGAACCCTCTACTTCATTTAATAAAATGATAAAGAAGGTAAACTATTTTCTACATTAGAAACGATAAGGTTTTACGAGATCGTGAATGCAATTAAATCTCTTTATAATTAAAGGTCACAGAATCATCCATTATTGACAAGGAAGCTTCTTCATCTGAAATCATGTACGAGGTAGGCTATTTGTTACATTAAAAATAATAAAAGAAATTTTACGTGGGAGATTGCATATACAATTAAATATCTTCACAGGTGGATCTGAAAAATATCGTTTCCTATGTACAAAATCCCATGATTTCTATAAACGAAGCATTGTTGAAAATACGTAGAATAGTTGCCCATACTCATGAAAGAAATTGCGATGTTGTGAAGATAAATAATGCTCATGGCAGAATATTGTTCGAGACCGTGTATGCGAATTGTAATGTACCAGCATTTAGAGTTTCCACCAAAAATGGATACGCAATATTGGCAAATGATGGCGAAGGCGTAAGGACAGTACTGATCAAAACAACAGTAAGTTGCGATGTCAGACGTTCATATATAGTAACGAGTTACAATTATAAGACAAAAATTTTTTGCAGTCTAATTCAATATCTCTCAAACCTGGGACTTGTGTGATGGTGAAAAGCGGAGCGCGTATTCCTGATGGTAAACATAATTATAAACGTAAATTAATGTTTTTCTCTTTTTGCAGTACTGAATTAATATTTCTCTATCCGATTGCAGAAGCAACAGCAGTTGTGCAAATTTCTGATACAAAGCGAATAATGAACTATGATGGAACGGAAGAGTCAATTCAAATAATGATCAAACCGGAAAACGGGCAAAATATTAAGTACGAGAAATTCAATATTTTTTATATATTTCTTTCCGATATAAATTTTACCTTTTTTCTTTCATTGGAATGTTTATATTTATATATTTTAAAGAAACGTTGGTAGCGATATAAGGAAAAACGAACTTATTATACACCCGTACACACGTATTGGTCCAGCAGAATTAGGACTATTGGCAGCTACAGGCCATCAGGACGTTATAGTCGTTGCTCCTATATCCATAGGTATATTGTCAATTGGAGAATTCTTAGCAGAACCTGGAGAGTCTTTAAGACCGGGATATGTCTACGATAGCAACAGAATAAGCCTAATCGCGCTATTAAAAGATAAAGGTTTCTATCCAATATTAGATTTTGGAATTGTTGCAGATATGTGAGTGCATTTATTATATAATTTTTGCCATGTTATTATATTTTATTTAATGCATAAATGATAATATTTTTATTATATTTTATGATTAATGTAATAATTAATGTAATACTTAATACTTGATATTTTCGCAGTATGCTACCTATAATGAAGAGAATCAAACAAGCTTTAAAAGAAGTGGATGTACTTGTGACAATAGGCTGCACGAACGATAATGATGTGTTGAAGCTCATTTTAAAGAATGACCCTATGGCAACTATACATTTTGGTATTTTTATCTCATTTTATCTTTAAATATACATCACAGTAACAAAAATATAAAGAGACGCATCTTTTCAAAAACTACATAGTGTTCTAAAAATGTTGAGGATATAATAAGATTATAGTACATGAAAGTTTGTAAAAAATCAAATGATAAAAATATTTGTCACTTTTTATTTCAAGCAGCAATTTTTAAGACATAAGACACATTTAAATTCATGAATAAATAACTATCTGTAGCATGCGATTAGCTAGCTTTAAACCTTTATATTTCAAAAAGTATTTCTTAGAATAAAAAATGGCAAAAAATACATTTTGATCGCTTAGTTTTTTACAAACTTTCATGCTGCAATTTTATTATTCTCGAGTTTCGGTATTCTGTATATATATATTTGTTTAGGAAACGTAAATGTAAAACCGGGGAAGTCAACAATGTTTGCAACATACAGAATGGACAAAACGAAGTGTATCTTATGCCTGCCGGGAAATCCGGTATCCGCTTTCATTTCCGCGCATTTATTTCTTTTACCTCTTTTGAACGAGTGCTATCACATCGCCGAGAAATCCTGCAAAATACCAGTTTGCGTAAGATTCGAAATTTGAAATTAAGAAAGATATGTACGCGTATTGTTATAATGTTGTTATAAATTATATTGTAGATAAACCAACGATTCATCTTGCATCCGCGTCCTAGAGTCGCGTGGACAGTTTTAAAATGGAATGACCAGGACAATTTCGCAAGGGCTTTCAACAAGGAAAATCTTGTCAGTGATAAGCTATCTAGCAGTCAAGCCGCTAATGCGCTTTTGATGCTACCACAAAAAACAGAGGATCTCAAGGAGATGTATCCATCATTTGTACCTGCATTATTAATCAACTTTTCCAATAGTTGCACATTAATAAAAGATGTTTTTAATTGACTATCACCAGCAGCATTATGATGAAACATTTATACATTATTATATAGACTCGATATTACATATACAATTTGTATATAACAATTTTTAAACAATTTTATGTAAGAAAGAAAACTTATGGATATATCTCGTAATTGGCAGAAAGAATTGGATATATTTTACATTTTGCTTTATGTGAAACTTGGTAATACTTTTCAAACTTTACCTTTTCACGACTTATTATTAGCTTGGTAATTCAATTTCAAAGCATTTCAATTTCTAAAATTCTATTAAAATCAAGATATTTGGAATTGAGGAATAAATAATTATTATATATATTTATGATTATTATATTTTTCGAAAACTATTTTTGAATATTAACATTTTTATTGATAAATTGATGAATCAATTTTTGCAAAGATAAATTTTAGAAGAAATACATTGTTTATGTATATGTGTATCCACTTTCGTGCCAATCCTAGATATATGTCATAACAATTTTAATTTTACTTTTTCATTTTAATTATGTATATTGTATTATATGACGATAACTTTTGTCCATCATTTTACCATTAAAATCATTGTAGCAATAAAATATAATATTTTTACATATTTGTCTAAAATATGTTAGTAGTTACACTTTACTATACATGTTAGTAATATTTATACACATTAAAAATGTTTCAGTTTTACAATAATATATAATCCAATATATAAAATGTCACAAATTTGCAGAAACAGGAGAATAGGAAATTATAGTAATACTATATTTCAAGAGAGACAGGAAGACAAAAAGAAAGATGAAAATTAATATCAGAGAAGTCTGGTTGCATTTTTAATTTCAATATATTCCAATATTCGAGTTATGTTTGCATCAGTATTTTTATTCTTTCATAAAGCTCGTTCGTCTTTTTTACATTCTTCGTATGTTGTTCCTTTTCTCCTTTTTTTCTGAGAGCGAATACAAATGAAAACGTGTTTTAAAGCAAAGAATGCAAAAAAAAAAAAAGTGCAAACAATGAAACAAACAAATCTTTAGTTTTAATGCATTCCAAAGTTAAATGACAAAGATGATATAAGGTATAAGATATGGAAAGGGAGAGGTCTACTATTTGAAAGCCAGAAAGAAATCAAAGGAGATCGCATTCCGAATCATCTTTCTTCCCTCCCCTCCCCTTCCCGTACGACGATAATACTTCGTCGATATATGTTTGTTATGTATGTATGTACGCGACACTGGAATCCAATATCTGTGACAGATGAGAAGTTTCGTAACTACTATGCTGTAACTTGTAACTAGTTACATGTGTAACGTCGCGCATGTTTGACATCGATCTTCTAATTCGTTACAGAATACGACATACGACACAAGTCGCATGTATACATACGCGTCATGTAAGTATGTAGCATGGCAATGTAAGATTAAATGAGGTTAAGTGACATGTGTTTTCATTGATCCGATTGTTTCGATGAAACGGGGTGACTAATGCAAATATATCTGGAATTGTAGCATGAAGCAAGTACGGGAATACGTATTCAGCCTGTGAAAACATCATCGCGGGATATGACGTCGGCTTTCTCATTATTTATAGAATAATAATTCATTTAGGTTAGGTTAGATTTAGATTTCAGATTAGAGGATTATTTTAATAAATATACACAACACATAACAATTTTACGAGTTGTGTGTAAAAGTTGTATGAATTTAGTACGAATATATATCGTATAAAAAGTGGAAAGGAAAATAACAAGAATCGACGCGAGATTGACTTGAATTTAACATCGACATTTCTGTCTTGATATGAATGACAATCCGGGTATCGTGTGCTTCCGTCACTGCCCGAGGAAGAATGTATTCTGCAGGTATATTCCGGTTACATGCCCGGCTTGCTCGTCGCGAATACAAGACTTCATTGTAGATCCATTTCGTGTCCCGTATCCGTTCGCGAACGCCGCTCATAATCCAACCAGTATCGTGATTCGACCTTCACGTGGTAGCTTCCTCGACGACTACGACGTGACGGGTAACGACTTGCATGTTGGGATAGTCGATTCGGACGGAGGCGTCATCGAATTCGATAAAGACGGACTGATAACGAACGACGTTGATAGATGGACTGATTGCATCGCCTTCCAGGTTGTACCAGTCGCCTGGATCATTCGATGGGACGAAACTCTGTCATTTATGTCAAAAGATGACAGATGGAAATCGATCAACTATGATAATATCAATATGAATTGCTTTAACTTCGTTTTGGAATTTCTTAATAATCTAGGATACGCGAATCTTAAGTTTGCGAGCAAGGAAGATCTATGCGAGCGATTGATACTATCGAAAATTCAAAATGCAATCAGATATAATTCGTTATATAGGGCCCTGAAGCATCAGGAGTATTTGTTATCGGATCATCATTCTTGATACATGATATATTATTCCCTGTCATTTCTCAATAAAATGCTATTTGTAATTAATGCAATAAATGTGCTTTTTGTACATCTGTGTTCTTGTTAATCCTCTGTTGCATATATTTTGCTAAAAGAAATTTAACTAATAGATCTGAAATTTCTTATAAGATGGTAAAATCAAGTTTGTTATCTGAAAACTAGAGTCTGAAAACAGCATAATGTTTATTGATAATACATTTCTATAACTCTATATTATATATCATATAGTGCAATTTACCCAACTTTATCTAATTTGGAATAACTTATAATTTCTATCATAAATGATAAAATATTAAATAAATATTTTTTTTGTATGATTCTGAAAGAGAAATGTTCAAGACATAATAATACGCTATAAAATTTAAAATGGAGATTTAATAATTTCTCCTTCATTAATCATTTCTTTATCTATATAAAAGTTATGTGAGATAATTGTAACGAATTATTTCAAATCATATACCTACAGAGATTTAGATCATTCACTACATACATTAATATATATATATGTAACCAAAATTTAATTCTTTAATATATTACAATTTTTATAAAGGATAGAGATTTCAGATATTATATATAAACATTCATACAGCATATAATTCTTGTAGCATTTTATTGTGGAAAGCATGTCTAAAATTGATCAGTCTTTTATACAATAGAGGCTTAAACAAATAGTGTAATATATCTTGATATTTGATATCATCTTTCTTTTCTGAAATCTAAAGGCACTTAAATATTTTTGCAGGAATTAGAATATAAATAGGAGGAACCTAACAACGAGAGGCAAAATGATTTCTACCAAAATTAGAATATCTTTGTTCAACACATGTTCCAAACAAAAGCGATTACGATTATTGAGAAGATTAATTACAAACGATAGCGAAAAGAAATTTGACGTGATCGTAGTTGGCGGCGGTCATGCTGGAACTGAAGCATCTACTGCCGCTGTTAGAATGGGTGCAAAGACATTATTAGTTACTCAGAAAAAAAGTACTATAGGTATGTATGCCTAAAGCTATTCAGCAACGATTATTAAATTTTCAATGGTTAATAAACTGATATTTATACATCGTTTGTAGTTTAAATTCTCTATATTTGGAATTATATTATGAGAGATAGATATTTATAACTTTTGTATGTTAACATTAAAACAACTAGGATAAACTAAGAATATATTTTTGTTAACTTTTTCCTGCATTTAAACTTTCTATCTTTGAATATATTACTTAATATATTTGAATTTGATTATATTTACAGGAGAAATGTCGTGTAATCCGTCTTTTGGTGGAATCGGAAAAGGCCATTTGATGAGAGAAGTGGATGCTTTAGATGGGGTATGTTGTCGAATATGTGATATTTCGGGGATTCACTACAAAGTTCTGAACAAACGCAAAGGACCGGCAGTATGGGGTCTCAGAGCTCAAATCGACAGGATATTATACAAGAAACATCTTCAGGCGGAACTTTTCAATATGCCTGGTTTAGACATTTACGAATCCTCTGTAGAAGATTTGATTTTAGCTAATAATCCTCTGTCCTGCTGTGGAGTAATTCTCAGTATGTTTCAAGCTTTATAACAAAAAGAAAGAAAGACATATTATACAAGAATAAAAAAAATTTAATTTTAACTAAATTTTTAATTAAGATAATTCACATTTATTTAATATTGAATATGTAATATATACATATATACCAATCTATTTCCCTAAAAGTATTATACAAATTTAAAAATGTATATATTTTTATTATTAGTATTAGTATTAATATTATTTAAAAATATTATATTATTTCACAGAAGATGGAACAAAAATATTTGGTGATGCAGTAGTTATAACCACAGGAACTTTCTTAAAAGGCCAAATAAATATTGGATTGGAGAAAAGACCTGCAGGTAGATTGAATGATGAGCCCAGTATTGGTTTGGCAAACACACTTGATAGGCTTGGATTTCAGATAGGAAGATTGAAAACTGGTAAGAGAATTATGTTCCATATGTATAAAATATCTCTTTTTTTTTCTATTAATTGATACAACATACAATCAATGATATATTTCTTATTTTGTGTTTTCATTTGTATGTATATTAATTTATACATTAATATATATTTTAATTGAAATTACCATAACATTACAACTCTTTTAATTATAATGATATATTAATTAGGTTATACATATTATTAGGGACACCACCAAGATTAGAGAAAGATAGTATTGACTTCAACAAATGTACGAAATTTCTGCCGGATGATTTTCCGATACCGTTCTCATTTATGAAGGATAATGTATGGCTACCGTCCGAGGAGCAAGTACTAACATATCTGACATATACGAATGAGGGTGTCGCAAAGATTATAAAAGACAATATGCACTGTAACTTACATGTCACGGAGGAGATATCAGGTCCACGATATTGTCCGAGCATAGAGAGTAAGATTCTGCGATTCCAAACGCCTAGGCATCATATTTGGCTGGAACCGGAAGGTCTGGATTCGCCATTAATTTATCCGAGTGGATTGTCATGCACTCTGCCAGAAGAGAAACAAGTGGAACTCGTTAATTGTATTCCAGGATTGGAAAACGCTCGTCTAGGTATATTTAATCCTCTTAAATTTAAGTTTATCTTAAATATTGAGTAGTTTGAAGATTATGCAGAATTCATTACATTCCATTATCCGTGCGTTTAGCATCTATCTGTCATTTGACGTTTTTGTTCATTAATTTTTATATCATTTTAAATAATTATTACTTATACAATCACATTTAAGCTATTTGTATTTGCACTTATAGCGAAACCTGGTTACGGTGTCGAGTACGATTACATAGATCCTAGAGAATTGACTTCCCAGTTGGAGACTAGAAAGATTTCAGGATTATTCTTTGCTGGACAAATAAACGGTACCACCGGTTACGAAGAAGCTGCCGCACAAGGTATCGTCGCGGGTGTTAACGCAGCCGCTAAGGTGATTGGCACATTAACCAGAAAGCTTTCCCATTTAAAGAAAAAGTCTGACTTAGATTATCATATTTTTTAATTTTAATTGTTGTAAATTTTCAAACAAATTTAAACTTATTGCGAAAGAGAAATAATTTACGATTTTTTATTTCTATAAAAGATTTTCGTGTTTTATTATTGCGATGTTGCAGATTGGGAAGCTCGGATATGTAGATACGTTTTTAAATACGCGTTCCACATTCTGAACAAAATCGTGTATATTTAGGTGTTTAAGAAACCACCGCTTCTGATAAGCCGAACCGAGGGTTATATTGGCGTTCTCATCGACGATCTCACGACGGAGGGTACTACGGAGCCGTACAGAATGTTCACCAGCAGGTCGGAGTTTCGATTGAGTCTGCGTCCTGATAATGCCGACCAGAGATTGACAGAAAAAGGCTATGCAATAGGCTGCGTTTCTCAAGAGAGACTCAACAAGACGAGAGAAACTTTTCACAAAATGCAGGAAGCTATGCAAATACTTAAGAGCGAAGTGCGATCGAGCATCAAGTGGCGACAATTGTTGAAGATGAAAAAGACTAAGACTATTGGAAATAAGTCGGCCTTTGAGATGCTTTCAGTGACGGGCGAGGAGAAAGTCACATTTGAGCAATTAGCGAACTTGTTGCCGAATTTGTTAGGCCACTTGGATAGAGATCCCAATCTGGCAAGAAGAATAGAGGTTTGTGAACTTATTATTGTAATAATAAATATACTTTGAGAAAAAGAATGTTGTAACTAAAAAAATGTTTTTAAGTTAAAGTTTTAGAAATTTTAATTAATGTAATTAAGTAAAACAAGTATATCTTCATCGATAAATATTAATAATAAGGCTCGATTTTCAGATAGAAGCAAAATATGCTCATGTCGTTGCGGATCAACAGGATCAAGTGGAAGATATCAGGAAGAACGAGCGAATGATTATACCTGATGATATTGATTATAATAGGTACAAGATATAGTGTGCCTCAAATACTTATTTTATTGCCCGAATGATTATTGAATCGCTGTTTGATAAAATAGATAAAAATAACAATTCCTTAAATTTTATAAAGAAGTATGTTAACAAAATTGCTAACTGTGTTTTATTTTTGTTACAGTCCTAAATTAAATCTATCTGTTGAAGATCGAGAAAAACTCACAAAATATCTCCCAAGCACGGTAAGTTTTTTACTACTACTATCTCTTCTATAAATTCAACATTCTTACTATTTTTTTTGTTTGGATACCTATAACATTTATTGCTGATAAAAAAAATACAATAACCTTTCCCTGTAGACACTTAAAATTTTTTTAATAGTCATCTACATCCATTTAATAATTCCATATTATCTATATTAATAAGATTTATTTTGCAGATTGCTGCAGCGAATAAAATCTCAGGTGTGACACCTTCAGCCATAATAAGGCTACTTTATTACATTAGATATCACTCCAACGAAGTTGTTACAAAAGTATAGTAATGTATTATAACTAATAACAAATTAAAAATAAACTATAGTGACTCTTTTACACATCCATCATATACCTCAGTATTCTAATTAGAAGTTTAAATTTATTAAGTTAAATATTATATTAACATAATAAAAATAAATATTGCTTCAAATAATGTAATAATCTAGAAAAAGATTAATAATATATATCTTAGAAAAGAAAAACGAATAAAAAAAAAATTTTTTGTAGTCCACAAAAATCTTACATTTCATCTAAATAAGAATTTGCTACTTGCAGCTTGCACGCATTTACGCATATATCAAAATAAGAGAATGCGTTCGAAAATCCTACCCGTAAGGTAAAATTTAATCGACCAATCAGGATCAAAGATTTCTTTGGGTAAGATTTTTGAACGTATCTTGGGACAGTTGGCAATATGAGAAAGCTGACTTCCGTTAGTCCCGTTAGCGTCCCATTTCATCCCATTTCCTCGGTGTCGTTGAACGTGGAAGCATGTCGATCAATTTCTTTTGCGTAATAAAAAAAAGGAAGAATGCAAAATGGTAAGAAACTTTTCGTTCCTCTACGCCTATACCTTAGAAAAAATATTAGAATATTCGCGATTTTTTCTTCCGTTGATTTATCGCATTTATTCATGATTATTCACTTGTCGCGAAAATTAATTCTCTGGCCGCGTTCCCGACCACGTGTTTCTCATTTTAATTCCGTAAAACATTTCAAGATTATATAAAAATATAATCATTTATTTTTTATGTGCTCTTATTCTATTACTTTTTGATGTTCAGAATGACGGGAAGAATTAATTTATATAAATCAAATTATATTAATTTATTATAGATACATGAAAACGTTGATTCTCGAAATGATGATAGATACCTTATATATGTATTTCTGTGTAGTCATTATTAATAATTCTTATTATTTTTCATCTCGCGTACATACGCAAAAGTCTTGTTTAAAGCATTAAAAATTATTGGTTTGAATTGCTGATTTAATAGTGATTTTATAACCATTTTCTGATATATAAATTGTAACTATCGATTTATATAATACATCTAACAACTGCAAAATTATTATTTAATTATTAATAATTATATATATATATATATATATTATTATTCTTTGTTTCTTTAATGGTTTCTGAGTGCTTTTATAACGTTTATATAAACATTTTTTATTCTCTGATTATATATTAATCATGATGTTATTAATGGTCCGTGTTTCTGAATGATAGTGATTTCTTTTACCATTGCTGATTAATTATAGTTGGCAATATGAGAAAGCTGACTTCCGTTAGTCCCGTTAGCGTCCCATTTCATCCCATTTCCTCGGTGTCGTTGAACGTGGAAGCATGTCGATCAATTTCTTTTGCGTAATAAAAAAAAGGAAGAATGCAAAATGGTAAGAAACTTTTCGTTCCTCTACGCCTATACCTTAGAAAAAATATTAGAATATTCGCGATTTTTTCTTCCGTTGATTTATCGCATTTATTCATGATTATTCACTTGTCGCGAAAATTAATTCTCTGGCCGCGTTCCCGACCACGTGTTTCTCATTTTAATTCCGTAAAACATTTCAAGATTATATAAAAATATAATCATTTATTTTTTATGTGCTCTTATTCTATTACTTTTTGATGTTCAGAATGACGGGAAGAATTAATTTATATAAATCAAATTATATTAATTTATTATAGATACATGAAAACGTTGATTCTCGAAATGATGATAGATACCTTATATATGTATTTCTGTGTAGTCATTATTAATAATTCTTATTATTTTTCATCTCGCGTACATACGCAAAAGTCTTGTTTAAAGCATTAAAAATTATTGGTTTGAATTGCTGATTTAATAGTGATTTTATAACCATTTTCTGATATATAAATTGTAACTATCGATTTATATAATACATCTAACAACTGCAAAATTATTATTTAATTATTAATAATTATATATATATATATTATTATTCTTTGTTTCTTTAATGGTTTCTGAGTGCTTTTATAACGTTTATATAAACATTTTTTATTCTCTGATTATATATTAATCATGATGTTATTAATGGTCCGTGTTTCTGAATGATAGTGATTTCTTTTACCATTGCTGATTAATTATAAATTTCATATTTGTTTCACAATTTTTGAGATATATGGTTTATTGAAAAAGAAATGATGTGATTACAGGAAAAGGATGATGACTTATAAGATGAAGAAATAAAACCTATACTTCAACAATCAACAATTCTTAGTCATGATGTTATTAATGGTCAGTATTCTGGGTGTTTTTATAATAATTATGTAAATGTTTTTATTCTTCGATTATACTAGTAATCATGATGTTATTAATGGTCCGTGTTTCTGAATGATAGTGATTTCTTTTACCATTGCTGATTAATTATAAATTTCATATTTGTTTCACAATTTTTGAGATATATGGTTTATTGAAAAAGAAATGATGTGATTACAGGAAAAGGATGATGACTTATAAAATGAAGAAATAAGACTTGTACATCAACAATCAACAATTCTTAATCATGATGTTATTAATGGTCAGTATTCTGGGTGTTTTTATAATAATTATGTAAATGTTTTTATTCTTCGATTATACTAGTAATCATGATGTTATTAATGGTCCGTGTTTCTGAATGATAGTGATTTCTTTTACCATTGCTGATTAATTATAAATTTCATATTTGTTTCACAATTTTTGAGATATATGGTTTATTGAAAAAGAAATGATGTGATTACAGGAAAAGGATGATGACTTATAAAATGAAGAAATAAGACTTGTACATCAACAATCAACAATTCTTAATCATGATGTTATTAATGGTCAGTATTCTGGGTGTTTTTATAATAATTATGTAAATGTTTTTATTCTTCGATTATACTAGTAATCATGATGTTATTAATGGTCCGTGTTTCTGAATGATAGTGATTTCTTTTACCATTGCTGATTAATTATAAATTTCATATTTGTTTCACAATTTTTGAGATATATGGTTTATTGAAAAAGAAATGATGTGATTACAGGAAAAGGATGATGACTTATAAAATGAAGAAATAAGACTTGTACATCAACAATCAACAATTCTTAATCATGATGTTATTAATGGTCAGTATTCTGGGTGTTTTTATAATAATTATGTAAATGTTTTTATTCTTCGATTATACTAGTAATCATGATGTTATTAATGGTCCGTGTTTCTGAATGATAGTGATTTCTTTTACCATTGCTGATTAATTATAAATTTCATATTTGTTTCACAATTTTTGAGATATATGGTTTATTGAAAAAGAAATGATGTGATTACAGGAAAAGGATGATGACTTATAAAATGAAGAAATAAGACTTGTACATCAACAATCAACAATTCTTAATCATGATGTTATTAATGGTCAGTATTCTGGGTGTTTTTATAATAATTATGTAAATGTTTTTATTCTTCGATTATACTAGTAATCATGATGTTATTAATGGTCCGTGTTTCTGAATGATAGTGATTTCTTTTACCATTGCTGATTAATTATAAATTTCATATTTGTTTCACAATTTTTGAGATATATGGTTTATTGAAAAAGAAATGATGTGATTACAGGAAAAGGATGATGACTTATAAAATGAAGAAATAAGACTTGTACATCAACAATCAACAATTCTTAATCATGATGTTATTAATGGTCAGTATTCTGGGTGTTTTTATAATAATTATGTAAATGTTTTTATTCTTCGATTATACTAGTAATCATGATGTTATTAATGGTCCGTGTTTCTGAATGATAGTGATTTCTTTTACCATTGCTGATTAATTATAAATTTCATATTTGTTTCACAATTTTTGAGATATATGGTTTATTGAAAAAGAAATGATGTGATTACAGGAAAAGGATGATGACTTATAAAATGAAGAAATAAGACTTGTACATCAACAATCAACAATTCTTAATCATGATGTTATTAATGGTCAGTATTCTGGGTGTTTTTATAATAATTATGTAAATGTTTTTATTCTTCGATTATACTAGTAATCATGATGTTATTAATGGTCCGTGTTTCTGAATGATAGTGATTTCTTTTACCATTGCTGATTAATTATAAATTTCATATTTGTTTCACAATTTTTGAGATATATGGTTTATTGAAAAAGAAATGATGTGATTACAGGAAAAGGATGATGACTTATAAAATGAAGAAATAAGACTTGTACATCAACAATCAACAATTCTTAATCATGATGTTATTAATGGTCAGTATTCTGGGTGTTTTTATAATAATTATGTAAATGTTTTTATTCTTCGATTATACTAGTAATCATGATGTTATTAATGGTCCGTGTTTCTGAATGATAGTGATTTCTTTTACCATTGCTGATTAATTATAAATTTCATATTTGTTTCACAATTTTTGAGATATATGGTTTATTGAAAAAGAAATGATGTGATTACAGGAAAAGGATGATGACTTATAAAATGAAGAAATAAGACTTGTACATCAACAATCAACAATTCTTAATCATGATGTTATTAATGGTCAGTATTCTGGGTGTTTTTATAATAATTATGTAAATGTTTTTATTCTTCGATTATACTAGTAATCATGATGTTATTAATGGTCCGTGTTTCTGAATTATAGTGATTTCTTTTACCATTGCTGATTAATTATAAATTTCAATTTTATTTTATAATTTTTGAGATGTGTTTTATTGAAAAAGAAATTATGTGATTGCAGGAAAAGGATGGTAACTTTTAAGATGAAGAAATAAGACCTGTATATCAACGATCAACAATTCTTAGTCGTGATGTTATTAATGGTCAGAGTGTTTTTATAATAATTATGTAAATGTTTTTATTTTTCGATTATACTAGTAATCATGATGTTATTAATGGCCCGTGTTTGTGAATTATAGTGATTTCTTTTACCATTGCGGATTAATTATAAATTTCATATTTGTTTCACAATAGTTGAGATATATGGTTTATTGAAAAAGAAATGATGTGATTACAGGAAAAGGATGATGACTTATAAGATGAAGAAATAAGACCTGTATATCAACGATCAACAATTCTTAGTCGTGATGTTATTAATGGCCCGTGTTTGTGAATTATAGTGATTTCTTTTACCATTGCGGATTAATTATAAATTTCATATTTGTTTCACAATAGTTGAGATATATGGTTTATTGAAAAAGAAATGATGTGATTACAGGAAAAGGATGATGACTTATAAGATGAAGAAATAAGACCTGTATATCAACGATCAACAATTCTTAGTCGTGATGTTATTAATGGCCCGTGTTTGTGAATTATAGTGATTTCTTTTACCATTGCGGATTAATTATAAATTTCATATTTGTTTCACAATAGTTGAGATATATGGTTTATTGAAAAAGAAATGATGTGATTACAGGAAAAGGATGATGACTTATAAGATGAAGAAATAAGACCTGTATATCAACGATCAACAATTCTTAGTCGTGATGTTATTAATGGCCCGTGTTTGTGAATTATAGTGATTTCTTTTACCATTGCGGATTAATTATAAATTTCATATTTGTTTCACAATAGTTGAGATATATGGTTTATTGAAAAAGAAATGATGTGATTACAGGAAAAGGATGATGACTTATAAGATGAAGAAATAAGACCTGTATATCAACGATCAACAATTCTTAGTCGTGATGTTATTAATGGCCCGTGTTTGTGAATTATAGTGATTTCTTTTACCATTGCGGATTAATTATAAATTTCATATTTGTTTCACAATAGTTGAGATATATGGTTTATTGAAAAAGAAATGATGTGATTACAGGAAAAGGATGATGACTTATAAGATGAAGAAATAAGACCTGTATATCAACGATCAACAATTCTTAGTCGTGATGTTATTAATGGCCCGTGTTTGTGAATTATAGTGATTTCTTTTACCATTGCGGATTAATTATAAATTTCATATTTGTTTCACAATAGTTGAGATATATGGTTTATTGAAAAAGAAATGATGTGATTACAGGAAAAGGATGATGACTTATAAGATGAAGAAATAAGACCTGTATATCAACGATCAACAATTCTTAGTCGTGATGTTATTAATGGCCCGTGTTTGTGAATTATAGTGATTTCTTTTACCATTGCGGATTAATTATAAATTTCATATTTGTTTCACAATAGTTGAGATATATGGTTTATTGAAAAAGAAATGATGTGATTACAGGAAAAGGATGATGACTTATAAGATGAAGAAATAAGACCTGTATATCAACGATCAACAATTCTTAGTCGTGATGTTATTAATGGCCCGTGTTTGTGAATTATAGTGATTTCTTTTACCATTGCGGATTAATTATAAATTTCATATTTGTTTCACAATAGTTGAGATATATGGTTTATTGAAAAAGAAATGATGTGATTACAGGAAAAGGATGATGACTTATAAGATGAAGAAATAAGACCTGTATATCAACGATCAACAATTCTTAGTCGTGATGTTATTAATGGCCCGTGTTTGTGAATTATAGTGATTTCTTTTACCATTGCGGATTAATTATAAATTTCATATTTGTTTCACAATAGTTGAGATATATGGTTTATTGAAAAAGAAATGATGTGATTACAGGAAAAGGATGATGACTTATAAGATGAAGAAATAAGACCTGTATATCAACGATCAACAATTCTTAGTCGTGATGTTATTAATGGCCCGTGTTTGTGAATTATAGTGATTTCTTTTACCATTGCGGATTAATTATAAATTTCATATTTGTTTCACAATAGTTGAGATATATGGTTTATTGAAAAAGAAATGATGTGATTACAGGAAAAGGATGATGACTTATAAGATGAAGAAATAAGACCTGTATATCAACGATCAACAATTCTTAGTCGTGATGTTATTAATGGCCCGTGTTTGTGAATTATAGTGATTTCTTTTACCATTGCGGATTAATTATAAATTTCATATTTGTTTCACAATAGTTGAGATATATGGTTTATTGAAAAAGAAATGATGTGATTACAGGAAAAGGATGATGACTTATAAGATGAAGAAATAAGACCTGTATATCAACGATCAACAATTCTTAGTCGTGATGTTATTAATGGCCCGTGTTTGTGAATTATAGTGATTTCTTTTACCATTGCGGATTAATTATAAATTTCATATTTGTTTCACAATAGTTGAGATATATGGTTTATTGAAAAAGAAATGATGTGATTACAGGAAAAGGATGATGACTTATAAGATGAAGAAATAAGACCTGTATATCAACGATCAACAATTCTTAGTCGTGATGTTATTAATGGCCCGTGTTTGTGAATTATAGTGATTTCTTTTACCATTGCGGATTAATTATAAATTTCATATTTGTTTCACAATAGTTGAGATATATGGTTTATTGAAAAAGAAATGATGTGATTACAGGAAAAGGATGATGACTTATAAGATGAAGAAATAAGACCTGTATATCAACGATCAACAATTCTTAGTCGTGATGTTATTAATGGTCAGAGTGTTTTTATAATAATTATGTAAATGTTTTTATTTTTCGATTATACTAGTAATCATGATGTTATTAATGGTCCGTGTTTCTGAATGATAGTGATTTCTTTTACCATTGCTGATTAATTACGAATTTCAATTTTGTTTCACAATTTTTAAGATATATAATTTATTGAAAAAGAAATAATGTGATTGCAGGAAAAGGATGGTGACATAAGATGAAGAAGTTAGACCTGTTATCAACAATCAATTTAATCTTTAATACTGTGAAAAAACATAATTTATTATTCACATCCCTGTAAATATATATTCATTTCTAAAAATATTAATCTATTTACACATTTTGAAGTCTAAGAAAAAAAAATCTTTGATCGGCGATTGTGCACAATAATGTTGATGACATATAAATCCTTTATAAATATATATAATAAAATCAAATTTAATTTTGAAAGAAGTTATAATCCTAATTGACTAAATTATCTAAGAATCTATTATCAATTAACACATGGAATATAGAAGTGTATAATTTTTTTCTCTACTGTTATAATTTTTTTGTTATGCGTGTGATATGTATATCATAGAGAAGTGGATCAATCTAAAAAAAATATCTAACTTGTAAAAGATACCATAACGTTCTATATTCATTTTACGCGTAATTGCTAGTTTTTTTAATGATTTGCGATATATCCATAAAACATGGGATCTATCCAGCAAAAACGCACATAAACATAAAGGTGCCTTTACATGGCAACATTAAGCGTCGAGCGTCTGCGCAGAATTTAAAAGAGATAGATTCTAGGCTGAAATTAGATTCTGCGCAATTTTCTACGCAGACGCTCGACGCTGCCATGTAAAGGCACCTTAATATCGTACGATTAGCTGTCAGATAGAAAAATTTTCAGGACTTTAAAATTCTCTGTTCGATAGGAAATACGTGATATTAGCCGCGTTCAGCAGAGAAGCGTTATCAACTGAGTCAACACTCGACACTGATTTGTTGGTTAGAAGAAAGAGCCAATCACGTTCGATTGCTGAGCGGTTTTCTCTATTGAACGCGCCCATTGTACCTATTTGTGTTTTCTTTTCTCTGATTGGTCAATTGTTTCTGGTTATCCTCGACATCGGTCAATATGAGTGGCTGTGGTCGTTTGCAACTTGTCAAATAGGACGGTCTTGTATTTTTACGTTGCAAATTTGACAATACTGCTTGCAGACACGTGGTTTCCGCAGCAGCGAATTGCGCAAACTCAGTTATTTGGTCCTCGTATGTACAGATTTGTGTGGGTAGTACAGGACAAATGTTTCGTTTGTGCTGTTCTATTGCAAGTTTTCGTCGATAAACGGTTAGAAAAAAAAATGGTACCTCTCGGCCCATCGCCTGGGCACCAAACGTCCGTCAACAATTCTTCCACTGCGGCTGCTAGCGGGACAAAAAGCAACGCGATATTGGTAATTTGAATTTTAATTAACGAGAGAAACAGACAGACACGTGTATAGGTTAAAATGTGCAAGGAAGTGGTAAGCCGGTTTATTTAAATAAATCTAAATGTCGGAATAAATGCGAAGGAACGGTCAATTATATCTTTAAGGAAAATGGGAAATTTCAGGATGTTAATTGAATTTACAATTTCAAATTATAAATAAATTTATTTTTTGACTTGTCACGCTTTTCTTTGTAGCTTGAACACGATTTTTTTTATAGCTTTTTCTTTCCCTTCCCCTTCCATGGTATAATCCTAATATATTGTATAATTTAACTGATATATTTGTATAATTAATCTTCACTTTTTCTTGTCTTCAGATAGTTGCAAATTTTTTCTATATATGTATGTTCAAATACTACAACAGACTTATAGTCAAACTTTAATATCTGTGTTATGTTTGTACTCAATTAATAATTATTTTTTAACACAAGCAAATAATGCAAATGCATGAATAGTATCTATTTTTGGTTTTCTTTCTTTACAGAAACCTAATTATACATTAAAGTATACATTGGCTGGCCATACTAAGGCAGTTTCATCTGTTAAATTCAGTCCCAATGGAGAATGGTTGGCAAGCTCTGGTAAATAAAGATTTTTAGTAAACTGGTTGTAAACTTTGTTACTTTGAAATACAGTAACAAGTATCTAATTTTCAGCTGCCGATAAACTTATTAAAATCTGGGGATCTTATGATGGAAAGTTTGAAAAGACTATATCTGGTCACAAACTTGGTATTTCAGATGTAGCATGGTCCAGTGACAGCAGATTATTAGTATCAGCTTCTGATGATAAAACCTTGAAAATTTGGGAATTGAGTTCTGTAAGTAATCTATTATACAAGATTTTTTTTTAATGAAAATTGGTAGCAAGATGAATAGATTGTATATTGGTTGGAATTTAAAGTCACTTTTTATTTTTTTTTTAAGTGTAAAGATCCCAATAATCTTTGAGCTGTAAGTCATGAATAAATTATTAAAAATTTTTTAATTTAATATAAATATTAATTAATTTATATCAGCATTTAGCAGCTAAATAACATTAAACTTGGAACTAAAGTTGCAAGCTTTATTATTATGTAGTCCAGCAAATTAAATATTTTTTTAAATAATTTTGTATTCTTTAGTATATTAATCTCAGAATCTTATTTTTTAGGGTAAATGTTTAAAAACGTTAAAGGGTCACAGTAACTACGTTTTTTGTTGTAATTTTAACCCACAGTCCAATCTCATAGTCTCCGGTTCTGTAAGTATCGATTTATATGTACATTATATGATGCTTATATAAATAGAATGGTCAATTAAACTCAAATTTTAGAATTATTTCACAACATTGGTCTTTTTCTCAAGAATTGAATTATATTAATTTTTCTTTGCAGTTTTATACAATGTTCTTTCTACTACTTTCTATCTCTTACAGATTCCCAAGGTTAAATAATTTATTTTTTAAGAGTAATAGAGATTCTCTGCATGAGATATTTAAAATTTTGAAATTTAAACTATAGATTATTCTGTAATATTACTAAATTAAAAAATATAGGCTATATATATATATATGTATGTATGTATATTTATTACATGTGCAATTACAAAAGAGAAGATAACATATATGGGATTCCCTGTTTTTAGTTTGACGAAAGTGTACGTATTTGGGACGTTAGAACTGGAAAATGCCTTAAAACCTTGCCAGCACATTCAGATCCCGTAAGCGCAGTACACTTTAATAGAGATGGCTCTCTAATCGTCTCGAGTAGCTACGATGGATTATGGTAAATTACACATAAAATTTCGTGATTAAGATACTCTATGAAAAGAAATATATGTAAAATGTGTATCACATATTCTTTTCCTGAAAATTGATTTATTGTATCCAAAATTGTAATACTGATAGCTTATATTTCACGATATATTACAGTCGAATTTGGGATACTGCCTCGGGGCAATGTTTGAAAACACTGATAGATGATGACAATCCTCCGGTATCATTTGTCAAATTCTCACCGAATGGAAAATACATCTTGGCAGCTACGTTGGACAATACATTGAAATTGTGGGATTATAGCAAAGGGAAGTGCTTAAAAACATATACAGGCCACAAGAACGAGAAATATTGTATCTTCGCGAATTTTTCTGTAACAGGTGGAAAGGTTTGTATTGTAGATTTCAGATATGTGAATATAGAGACAATATGTCGTAACAATTTACTCAATAATTAGTTATTCTTATATAGTGGATTGTATCTGGCTCCGAAGATCACATGGTGTACATTTGGAATTTGCAGACAAAGGAAATTGTACAAAAGCTACAAGGACATACAGGTAAATATATGTGAATTTAGAACAGTAAGAAAATACTGCTATGTGTACAAATGAATTAAATACCCTCGAATCTTTTATATACGATGTATATTCTCGAAAACATATCTTTCTGTAATTTCAGATGTAGTACTTTGCACAACGTGTCATCCAACGGACAATATTATAGCTTCGGCCGCTCTTGAAAACGATAAGACCATTAAACTGTGGAAAAGTGATACATAAGGATGATCTACACATTTATTTTATCTGTTACTTATTTCTTGTACAAATCTTTATTTTTAGATGCAGGGAAACTATTACATTGTAAAGCATAGATCATAATATTCATTTCATGATTGTATAAAATATTTAGGAAATAGTAAAGTAAATAATATTTTATACTAGAATGATATATTTTTTTATTATTGAATAATATTAAAATAGACTTTTATTTTAGAATAAATTAATTTCGAGATACGCTTTAGGATTTAAAACTATTACAAATAGGACTTCCAGAGAAGTAGTTTTACCTAATCCAAGTTGAATGATATTAAATTAATTCATATTTCATTCATCTGGTATGTGTGTTTTAATCTTGTACAAAGTTATATATTTATATATAAAAGTAGGCTGTAAATCAATATTATCGATTGTATATGTATAACATACTGTTTAGAAATTTAAATAGCATCAGGCAAAGATAATTTGATATATCCAGTGTATAAAACATGTATGTGATAGGTACACGATTTGAAAATCACTACAAATCCAAAGTTCAAGTTCAAATGCAATAAATATATATCCGGCAGATGTTAGGGGCAAAGGAGATATCAAAAAATAGGAAATATACAAATAAATATAAAATTAAAAAATCTCGATTTTTTTTTTTATATAAATTCTCTTCTAAAATTTGTAATAAATTGCAAAATAATTAAAAAGTCAAATCTCCAATTAGTTTCTATCTCTTAAATCGAACTTCTCTTTCTCACATATACATACATATAGACTCGGCAAATATTACGAACTTCTTCTTTTAATTGATATATTGCATGTCTATAGATGGATTTTAATAACGTATTAAATATAATTAACATTTATAAAATCTAATAAATTTTGCTTATCAGATCAGCTGTATTCTATAGTACAATAAGAGATATGTAATAAAATTATAATAAGAAATATTACATATCTTTATTGTATGTAATTTTATCCATGATTTTATAGTTTGTTCTCTCAATTCGTATTAAAATAAAATTCCTTCATTTAAAACATTTATAAAATATATAAAATTTCTATACATGATTATTGTGCTCTTTTTAAATCGTTGATATAGTACTCTTGCAATGTTTTGCAATACTCTGCAAATAGAACAATATCACAGCCAAGGTTGCCAATTTACATACATACGGCCCAAAATATTAAAGTCTTTTGCTTGATCTAACAAACAATCCACCTGAAATATTATTATTCATTAATACTGAAGCATAAAAGGAAAATTCAGGAGTTCTATGTACTTTAAATGTAAATATCTCAATTTACATCAAAAGTGTGAAGAAAATACGATATTTATTTAGACTTCTATAGCAGGGAAAAAAAGTATAGCTATGCATCGTTTTTAATGTTCTAATCAAATACAAGTATTGAATCAAAATTACCTGCTTGGCAGGTGTCAAACAATCATTCCTTATATCTGCTCGTGCTTGTTTGACTTCATCATTGCCTATGACAATGGCATGATATCTTGTAAAGTATTTATCATTATGCGCTTCTCTTAATTGTTCCAATGTAATGAGTGATGGATGGATTCCATCTAATTTCTTCGCAACTATTTCAATATTTCTCTTTGACGACCATGTTAAGTCTGCAAATTATATGATTTTATCAATATAATGTAATATAATATATTTTATGAACTTTTATATTTCTCATATGTATAAACATGTAAGTTAGAGAAAGAATATATTTCCCCTGCAAAAATCCCTTGCAAAATTCGTGGTGTTCTCATTTTATACATTATACCTGCATCAACTTCTTCGTCGTCATCCCTCGTCGTTGTCTCCTCGTCATTGATATTCGACGACCGATTAACGGGCTTGTGAATGAAGATGTCCATGCAAGCGAGGATCGGGCCGCGGTCGTCGCGCAAGGCACGCATCGCGTGAGTCATGATCGTCGCCAGGAGGTCGCGCTCGGTGAAGGGTAGCAGTAACTCTAGTATCTGCGGCGTCAGACGAAACGGCACGAGTTCTGGTATGGGCGCGCGCAGGCCGCCGCCGAAAGCGTGGCCGAAATCGATGCCCAGGCATCGTCCAGTGGTTACGCGCACCAGGGTGTTCTGCAGATGTCGATCGCCGATGCCCGCGAGCCAATGCGCCGTGCACATCGTCGCGTAACTCGCGACGAAGTTACGTCGTAACGTCGCGAAGCACTCCGGTGACGGACTAACGGCAACGAAAGCATCGCGCAGAGCCGTTCGCTTGGTCTCGCCGACAAAGCGCTCCATTTGCTCCGTGACAGTTTGCCAGCTGTACCTGGATGCGGCCTCCTTGTACTGATCGATCTGAGACCGCTTCGAGGGTGTCGCGCGTGCTATCCACTCTGCGTATTCGTTGCGAATTTTCTTGCATCGATCGCTCTCTTTCTTTGATAGAGTGAAGCGTACCAGATCCTCCAAGGATTTCGTATCCTCGATCCACTGTATGAGACCGAATGATTTCGACAATGGAATCACCTATGGGTTGAGAAGATTTATTGAGTGAAGTAAAGGAATGTATGCTTAATATTTAAATTAAACACTTAATGTTAATAAATGTTAATGAATAAATAATAGTAACGAGATATTATACATACGCATACTTCATATATTTATATATGAAAAAATATATACCTCATATGTGTCTATGGCTAAGCGTCTTTCTCTGCAGCTCGCGTCATTGCTTAATGTTCTGTTCATGGTGTTATACAGCTGCTGCAGACCGCGATCAATCGTCAGATCCTCACCAAATTTCACCAGGAACTTGTATTCCTTGCCGTTGTCACCCATCATACAGATGCGAATCGGTTTGCGCAGCGATCGCATGACCGCCACACGTGGCTCAAAACGCGCGATCCTCGCGTGATAACGCAGTATAGGTTCCCTATCACCAGTATATTGGCCGGGTATTTCGATACCGCCGCCCATATACTGATGCAAGAACGGGCTGTAATCATTCAGTCTGTTTTTGGTCGCGCGTATGAAAAGAGACTCATCCAACGATTCCATGATTCTTCGTATTCCTTCTCGTGTGGCATCGCGGTTGTCAGGATTCAAGGCTCTTATCTTGCTTTCGTATCTCGCGATCATCCGATAGATATCGCCTGGACGAGGATTATTTCTTTCTGCTGCTCGTGTGCTCGGATAAACCTTTTGCAGCAGCGACTCGATGGCCGTCGCCCCTCTTCCTCGCGACAGATCCCTCATCACTTCATCAAGATAATACTTAAGATACAGTTCCGGTTGCGCCACGTACTGTATCGCCCGCAAGAACTGTTCATACTTCTCCGCTTTATCGCGCAAAAGTGAGCGTACTCGTTGAATGTTTTCGTCCTGCAGAATAGCGGGGTTTCTCTCAATAACCAGGTGATACGTGTAAGCTACCGCATCGGGATAAGCCTCGGCGAGTCTTTCGACGATCGGCACAACCGCGCTCGCGATCGACGGTGTACCCAGATGGGAGAACAGCAGATCCTGCCAGCGCAAAAACAACCATGGTTGCAGCTCAGCACACTCTCGAACGAAGGTGGTACGCATCTCCTCGTTCCGCAACCGTTCAGGTCTTAGTAAGCAGGGAAAATAATGTGCCGCTTCGAGATAATCATAACGCATAGATCTCAGGGTGGATAATAAGAATTCGTGGAAAAGTTCGTCGCTCTCTATATCGGTGGACGTCAGTCTACCGTAACAGTGACGGGCCAGAGCGCAATAGTGCTCGCCGACGTTAGTGGCGGCGGTCTTCGCTGCGTCCTCGCAGCAAGCTCGCAAATTATTCAAGCTGTACTGCAGCAAATGCTCTCGGATGTTATTCAGATCGCGCGTCGATTCCGCAATTCCTATCTTCTGCAGGATCGCGGCGTTACTCGCCAATGCGTTCGCGAATTCTGCGTTCTCCCTGCTTGAACATTCGATCTTCGAAGCCAGTGCACCGACGTGCTGCTTGATGGCGGTATTCATGTTGGCATTGAGCTCGCCGCTTTCGTTCAACAATAGATGCGAGCATTTCCAGGAAGCGGTATAATTGGCCATTTTTGTGCGTGCGTCTGTTTCGATGTCGGCATACAGACACTTGATTCTAGCCTCGAGCCATGAAAGCTCTAACGGAAGCTTTGGATGCGGATAATGGATGCCCTGTAAATGCTCGTTCATGTAATTCAAATGCCTTTCGGCGATGTATCGGTGTTTCTGGTGCAACGCAGCATCAGCGATGCCCAATCGAAGCTGAAAACCGCTCCGACGCATCCGCTCTTTGATGATCGCGCGTTTCTCCTCCTCGTCGTCATCCTCTTCCATATTGTCAAAGATGTTTTCAAATAACATTGAAGAAAACGTTCGATAAGCGGTTAATTTATTCCACTGCACAAGATTGTCTTGAACGGTAGGTACTTTCGACGACCAGAAGTTCAATAACGCGTCCAGTCGGTCTAGGTAGTTCGCTTCGTTCGCGCATCGAAGAACCTTGAGCGAAGCGTTGAGATCGTTTATGGCCTGCAATTTTAGCGATTCGCGTATTCCCCGTTCGGTGCAGAGAGGATTCAAACTGACCCATTGTTCTCCCGTTTTGTCCAGAAGCTCGTTCAATAGATCGGTGGCCTGTCGCTGTTGCTCTTCGCCCATCAGTAGAAACATCATCAGATCTTTGCCTACCACATGCTTAAGATACTTTAATTTATCTCGATCGTTCATCCACGATTGGATGACTGGCAGATCGTTGCCGCACGACGTCCAGTTTTTTTCCGCCCGCATGTGTACATAAGCGTCGAAGGCGTATGGAATCATCCAATCCTTCCACGTGTCCTTCCAGACACCATCCAGATTTTCATCGCTCGTGCGGCTCTTTACAAGCCGATTGATAGCCGACCAATCACACAAATTCTCGACGGCCTCAAATAATCCTTGAAAGCAGTGTTCCCTTATCGACCGATTCTCCATTCGTTCGTAAGCGCTTGTGTAGGCGTCCCTCGCTTGAATCCAATCGCCCTTTACTTCCGCAAAAGCAGCTTCCTAAAGAGAGAATAAGAGTTTTTTTTTCTAAAAAGAATCAAAGAATCTTTCTTTCAGACGAGAAACGCGTATGGAAGTCAACGAAAATAGAGACTATTTTGATCAACAGAAAATGATTTCCAACTCGCGATTCCATTTTCAGTTAGTTTATAAAACAAATCTATATATTTTTGTGTTATCAAATATTATAATATCGAGAATTACCTGCATGTCATCGCCAAAGAATCGCTGCCCTCGGAAGATACTCAAAACAACGTCGACATCATTCAGTGATTTATAGAGAGATGCCAATTGCACCCACTTGTCGGTCTCATCGTTGTCGCATCCTCGCATTCTTTTGCTCGGCGTGGGCGAGTCATCATCTCGCATGTCAGGCAACAAATTGCGTTCCAGGAGAAGAGCGCCGAGAACGTCCAAGCGGCTCGTCTTGGAGATCTTCGCTATATCTAGCGGATCGCAGTCGGTGACATTTAGTTGTAGCAATGTCTCCAGAATAACGGCATTGAAGGAACTGTCTCTCTCGCTCGAATCTTGCAGAATTCTCTTTAAACTGTCCACGACGGTCTGACGGAAGTCATCGGATTTCTCTCTCTCGGTTGTTTCTTCGATCAGTGAACAAAATAACGATACAGTCACGTCTTTACAGATCAACCGATCCAGTTTTATCAACTGTTGAAGCGGTACAATCAAATTCGAATGAGATATTTCAATGTCGGGGAAATCTCCAATTCTATAATTTCTATGAATAAAAGCGAAAGAACAAAAAATTAACATTTATTCGGAATTATTCGCGATATAATCTAAAACATATTGGAGACAAAGTCTGATCTTACCTATATAATTTCACGCTACTTCTTTGTCTGATACTTTCCTGCTTCATCATTTCTGCCCGTTGCACGTTCTTCTGTATTTGCTTACGACGGATGATGTTTGCGACATCCGATGAGTTCGCTAGAAGTCTAGAGGGTCTCTTGCGCATCGTTGTATCTTGGGATGACTGTCTCGACGAAGATGCTGTTATCGATCGATCGAATTCGGCATCGAAATTAGCGTCCGTAGTTTCATCGTCGAGAAGAGTCGGCTCAAATTGCAAATCTTGCGTCGCACGCAGTCTCAGAGGAATACTTGAGTATCGCGAGAAAAGCGAATAGGAATCTACAAGAGTACCATATAAATTGGTATCGGCGTTTATCTGAGAAAAAGTGCCGTAGCTCATTTGTGAGGCGAGCGAGTTGACGAACATTGGGGTCATGCAACTTAGATTTCGCCTTCGCCAGGAAACAGCTACTTTATAGTTCTCAAAAGTGCAGTCATCATGTAACGGTGCGTCAAATATGTTCTTGTTGTAGTCCATCGATTTGGTGGCCAGCTGCAACATCAACAGGGCCATGAAGGGCGCGAATGCGTCATCTTCAGACGACGTCGTCATCGTCGTTATTTTAAGCATCGAGTGCATAGAGAGAAGTCCTAGCAATCGATTCTTCGATTTCTCCGTGCTGAGCGTCGTCTCCTCCGTCCAAAATCGCAATATTCTGTCCTGCAGCTCTTGTGACGGATCTAATAAACCGGTCAGCAGCTTCTCCACGCTGATAGACAGCAGGCTCTGAAGAATCGGATCGTCCTTCGCAGTCATGTCTGCCGAGTATTTCCCATAAGTCTTCATGAGTATGTCGTAGACTAATTCCCGGTGTTCCGTGGTTATGTCTTTAATGTACGAGATCGTCAGATTCACATAGAGCAACAAATCGGACGGTTGCATGATCGTTACTAAGTTGCCGACGATTCCCAGTGCCAGCTTCTCACAAAACGGTACTCGGTCCGTCAATATTTTCTCGAGCTGCATGTGACGCAGCTTACTCACAATCGCAGATTCGTCATCGGAAGCGTTGAGTCTCGACATGAACAACGTGAATATCTCCAGACAGTAGGATCTTTCCACATTCTTGGCCATTGCGCTGAATGTCACGATGATGTAATCCACGGCAACCTCAGGATAAGTCCGGCAGAGAACAGCGATGCATTTCACCTGTTTGCTTAAATATTGGTACGACTGCATCGAACCGAGGATAGTCAAGATTTTCTCTCTTACTTTGCGTTCCTTAATCTGTCTCCCAACTTCGTTGCGATTATCCAAAGATTTCAGGTACAATCCGAGGCACTCACTGCACTGCAGAGGCGTTTTGTCCGTTTCGGATGTTTTCCAATCGCGCAACGGTTTCAGTAGGAAGTCGACGATGTCGTCCCTCGCGACAATCTCTTCCGTCATACCGTTGTCGAGGAGCACTAAGATGAGATATACCGCGGCCTTCGGCGCGGATGTCATTTTTGTGTTCAGCAAATCGTTCGGCACTCGTAGATAGCTGTGCCACTTCTCCACCATGGTCTTTATTAGACCAAGATTATAATCATACACACGTCGTTCATTGTTAAATGTTTCTACCAATACTTTGTCGATGAGCTTCTCAAAGAGTATCTGAGCTTGCGTTCTGTCGTCCTCGTTGCTCGGCACGGCCACGTCGTGCCAATCCATAAGTATCTCCAGAATGTCCGTAATGATATAATTCAAATCGTTTTGTTCCAGATAATTGGCGACGGCTTTGACAATCGGTGTCAGCATAAATTTCGCGTAAGGTTGGAACACATCAACTGTGTTCCAAATGATCCTCAGCAGGAACAGTACGATATTGGGACATTTCTTCAGACCATTAAGGAATGTAGATAGCCACTTGGGCAATTCATTGTTCAATACAAAAATTTCCTTGATACGTCGCAATAAGACACATATATAAGGCATACATTCGTGCTCGTTGAAATCATCGATTTCGAGAGCAATGCTCGTTGGTCCATGCGAATCGCCGAGATTTTCCGCCGAGACAGAACGATGAGGATTGAATGGTAGCAGGACGGATCTGTTAAAATCGTAGGCGTTGATGTCCTCGCATAGTGTAGAGGCCGATAGATCGTAACTGTGAACGTATGCGTATCTGTGTTGTGGTTCGTCTATGTTGAAAGTCGTGGATCTCATGTTAACAGCAATCTCGCGAGTTTTCGGATATTCCTTAAAAGTCTGACCGAGCTGGTAACGTTTGTTGCAATCCACGATGTTTTCCCAGGAGAGGCGGTTGCTGAAAGCTACGAGGTAATAACGTTCCTCCTCCTTCAAGCTGATGATTGTCAGCTCGCAATTGTACGCAGAGCAGTATAAGAGACGCATGAGCTCGTTACAACCCGATTCCGTGATCCTTAAAGCTCGCACCTCGTATGCGAGTTTCATCAAACTTTGGATGAGCTCTCTGCCAGTTTCAATTTGATTTAGAGCGTTTATCGCGATTGTCGCGTTCTTGCCGATTATCTTGTTCATATCTACTGTGGCAAACATGATCGTTATCAATTGAAAGCATCCGATCTTGGATACTATGATCTGTTTGACGTTTGTGTTGTCAGTGGTGGTGATCAGATCGGAAAGGAACTTGCGCAACTCGCAAATGTTTCGCTCAAAGAAGTGCTCGATTGCGATCGCGTCGCAAAATTTGAACGTCGGCAAGAGAAAACGGCGTAGAACGTCGAATCTTTCCGTTTCAAAGAGAAAAATGTCGCGGTTCATAAACGCGCAGTACGTCATCTCCAATGATCGTAGAGCGTGTTCGCTGGACGTTCCGCGATAATATTCGCGCAGATGCTCCTCTATCTTCTCATCCTGGCACAGACGATCGCCGGTACCGGCTGCGAACTGTATCACGCACTCGAGCATGATAATTGATTTTGTTGTCGACAGCAGTATCAGCAGCGTTTCAAAACAGTCGATCACCTTCATGGAGTTCACGCTTGTCTCGGACAGATTCAAAAACAATTCTCTATCGTTGCTCTTTAGAGACAACAGGATCCTTCGCAATTCAAGCCTGTCGCCGCTATCATCAGTCGTCACGTCCGTCAGACAAATGAGAAATCTTTGCAGAATCTGCATTTTATACTCGAGACCATTATTGCCTATCAATTGATCTAGAATCCATTGATAAATCTCGGGAAACGCGGAATCCCGCGTGATCTTCACAGGGTTCGAACTGAGACGCACCACGGTGCCATAAATATTCATTAGTCTCTCCCTGCGACTGTCGTTGTTACAGACGGCATTCTTCAGGCACGTAAAATGTCGCAAGATCGCGTCCACCGTCGCGTCTACGTGAGCTTGCAATTCGCGTCTGTGCTGTTTCAAATACAACAGCAGATCCTCCAGCCACTTGAGCAAGAAGGACGGATTGTCGCGCGACAAATCGTCAAAGACAAGCGTAATTGCGGCGACATGTGTCAACATAAACCCGAAAATCGCGTCCTTAAACATGTTCAGAAAATATTCGCCGTGAGTGATCTGTGTCGAATCTGTGCCGATGATCAGAGTATTGTTGGATATAAATTTCATCAGCGTCTCGGTTATCGAGCGAGTATCTTCGGGTATCACCAAATTCGGGGCCTCGATCGTCGATGAAAACAGCGAGAGTTGAAATTCCATCAGAGTTCTCAAATATTCAATCATCCGCGCATTTAAACTGCGACAAATCCATTCGCCGATGCGTTTGTTCACTAGAAACTTGAAGATACGCTTGACCGTTTTTTCGCCGTGCGCGAAGCCACTCTCTTCTAGAATCATTCGATCGAGCATATCGCATCGCTGTAACAGAATCAGACCTTTAACGTGTTGGATCAGACTGTCGCCGAGATTGTTCTGCGCGATATCGACCAAATAAAGAAGTCGCGCGATGTATTTCCGGCCAAAATTTAAAAGACATTCCTTAAAAATGTTCGGTAAAGCATAAGTAAGCTGCGATTTCATAGTGTTTAATAGAATTTCCAAGACGTGTGGCAACTTGTCTGTCATCTCGATGTTCCTGATGTCGAAGCCGACCGCTCGCGGAAACATTATGCACTTGATCGTTAACGCAAACAAAGACTCGTCCCACAAAGACTTCGGTAGAATATTAACCTAAAAAATGATAATTACAGAATTTTATCACAGTTGCTCAACGAAGTTATATGTGTTAATTTATCAAAACAGTCATTAAAACAATTTGATTAATAATTAATTTATTTGTGACTAATAATTAAAGCTTACCCTAATTAATTTTATTATTCGCTAAGTTGATTCAATAAATTAGCTTGAATATCCAACTGGCAATAGGCGCGACTCACGTTAATGTTCAGCAGCATTTGTATAAAATTCAATGTAGTCATCAGAGTTTTGCACTGTAGGGTCTGCAGCTGTTCGAGTTCCCTGGAATTTATCGCAACCCCCTCTGCCGAAAAATCCTCGGTTATTTGCTGGAATTGACGAGTGAAACTGTGAATGCAGGAGAAAATTGTGTGTTCTCGTGCATCATCAGTAGCAGGAAAGAGAGTTTCTATCGACAGCAATTGGTTTTCCATCAACCACACGTAGCAATCCAGAGCCTTCAAGAGTGGCATCATATGGCCGATTGTAGAAATGTCTTCCACGCCCGACTCCAAGCCTCTCAAAACGATATCGTTCAATCGATCCATTCCGTAAGTCTTGACAAAAATCTGTATCGTTTTGTGCGGGTAACTATCAACGTGTTGTGATATGTTAATATACAATTCCATGCATTTCGCTCGGCAACGTTCGTCGAGTGTTCCACACCGCGACAGCAACCAATACAGAGCATGGGTCAAAGTCGCGCCGTCAAACTCGTGCGGCTTCCTCCTGTCGGGTGGACCGGGCGCGTTCAAAAGATCCGCCTTAAATTTCATCACTTTTTCGATGTGAGCCAACGCGTTCGCAATCGATGGATCATCACATTCATCATTCAAACTGCAAACGAAACAGTAGAATATTTCTAGCCAATAGATCGATACTGTATCGTCGTCTTCGCGCAAGATCGCATAGAGATGATTGAAGGCCACGGCCGCGGCTACGCGTTTACGTATCGACGGGTGCAGTGCGAGCTCGTTGATCTTTTGGACGATCCGATGCACATTTGATTGGACCTCTTTCACCTCTGGTGCTTGCCTAATAAACAAATCAATGTATTATATTCTTTGCAATAGGCTTCTCTTAAATGTAAAAATACATAAAAATAATTGCAATAAAAACATAACAAAAACGTTATGATAAGAGAAATGAGTTGTCCGTTTTGTTGATAACAAAAAATGCTATAAATTCAACATACTTGAGCGACCAACGTGTGAATTCCGCCAGACACGTGCCGGAGAACTCTCGTAATGCGGGATTCGAGTCGTCGGTTAAGCTATCGAATAGCGAATCGAGAACGGGCGAGACAAGGGGCGACAATAGCATGAGCCTGGAGCTAAGCCAATGCATCAGCTGCAACATCAATGGTTGAAAAAGGCCGCGCACGACCTCGTCGGAATCGCAGCCAAGCACGAGCATGGCCGGGCACAGAATGCCATAGAGAGCGGTGAAACGATTCTCCGGATCGGACAGGTGTCGCGCGGTGGAGCCGATGATGAGCGCTACCATTGAATGCAGAACCTCGCAGGCCGCAATCTTGGTGCGCCGGTCGCTGGATTCGCGCGCCAACGCAATTATCCGTGGCAATATCCGATCAAAATGGATGTTCGGTCGCGCGTCCGGCAACGGTAAGGTGTATTTGACCAGATTCTTGTGATCCCAGGACGCCCCAGTGCTACGGGAAGCACGATCATGCACAAAACTTGACAGCAAGTCGTGATCGAGCGATCCGAGAAACAGCAGAACTCGCCGTTGAAAGTTTTGCAGCATACATTCAGTGTTAATAACTTCGACGCGTTTCACGCGACTTCTCGTCGTTGTCACCATCAGATCTTGAGAGACCTCGACGGAGCTCTCCGTGCTGCGCAAGTATGGTTCCAGGTATGCTACGATTTCGCGCAGCAATTCGTTCGTTCGCTTCTGCTGTCGTTCTTGCTCAGTCCATGTCTCCAGGGTAATGAGCGCGGTGTACGCGAGCTCCAGATTGCTCAGACCGACAGTAAACGCGATCCTGAATGCCGGCAATGTGCATGGCAGCGCATCCTTGAAGTATGCATGGGGCGAATCCAGGATCAGATAGAGGCACGCGATTAGCAATTCATTAGAGAACGTGGGGATTAGATCAAGAGTACGTGCCAAATAATTAGATAAAAGCTCTTTCATCCATTGCGATTCTCCAGTGTCCTCTTCTTCTTCTGACGCGCAAGCGACGAAAATCTTCATACCAGTTCGAACGAGTTTGTAGAAACCAGATATCAACGGATATCTATACGACAGTCTGACAATCTCGAAGAGAAATCTGCACACGGTGTTGGCAAATAACGACAGCTCTGATGCGTCGATCATATCGATGTAAAGGTCCACAAGATTCGTGAACACGCGAAAGTCCGCCTGGTTCAAGGCACTCTGAGTAAGGGCCACGTCCGAGTATACGATGTCCTCGTTTATTCGTTTTACACGTATGTCCAATCGGCCAACCAACGTGATACACACATTCATTAGGGTATTTGCTACATGTTGCACCATTTGCTCGCATCCGAGATATCTTTTGACGTTCAGCAACTCCGTCCACAACGGCAAATAATTCTTGTAGCATATCGGTGACTGTTGCAAGTTATTCAGTTCCCGTTGTAACTCCGCGTCGAGCGCCAACGTGTGCGAACAGCTCCAAGCGATGCCATCATAAACTGATCACAAAGACGAGATTTAATACAACGAAAACTCCCGAAAGTAAATATCGAGATTTTATATCTTCTTTTAAATATGTAAAATTCAGGTTTACAAAAAAAAGGAAATATATATACACACACTATATATATATGTATTTTTTGGAGAAATCTATTATGTATCACGTATTTTAGGTATATTCAACTGAAACATAGAATGAGATTTTTATAGAACCACGACCTTACTTCACGTTTCAGTTGAAAAGTATCATATATAAATTATGAAACCTAATCTACATTTTATTTATAATTTGTACATTACATCTGTATTTACTTACTTATATTATCGAGATATTGCTGCAGCAAATTTTTATTGATGATTGCAAGTTTGCTGATAGTTTTAATTAATGCTGAAACAGCAAGTGTGTTGTTAGATATTACCAAGTCGGGAAATCTCTTGATTGTATAGATACTGAGTTTTACAAGAACGTTAATGTTTTCAATTGTAACATCAGTCATGTGACACAACATTTCCGAGAGCGCTTCTTGATAACAACAGATGTTTTCTATGTGTGTCGAATTACTCTGTTCGCTGAAAGAAGAAAAAATATAAAAAATCATCATTGTTTTACTAATGTCAAAAAGAAAAAAAAATTTCAACGTAATATATTAATATTAATAAGATTATATTATTATATCGTTAGATATATCTTTAATATTTTCATTCTTACCTGGAGCAAAGAGGAAGTGCATAACTGGCTATAACTGAATACATATGTCTGATATAAGGCTGATCCCGATGCAATTTGCATGGTGCAGCCATTTGACTGAACCCATAAACAACTAGTTTCAAAGTGGTTAGATCTAAGCCAGTATTCTTGAATTCTTTTTCAAATTCTTCAAGAAAATACTGAAACCACAAATATATATATTATAGATTACAAAATGAAAATTACAGAATTTTATTATTCTATAAATTGGAAAGAAAAAAAAAAACAAAAGGAAAAAATAGTAAATTCTATATGAAATATCTTGCTTAACATCTTATTTACCAATAATAACTTTCGTGCATCTTCGCTGCTATCTATTTCTAGAATATGTCCGATAACTCGGTAAAATGTTTTCAATGCCCGCTGTCCACAAGCACCAGAAGCAGTTGTTTTGCACGATAAACGCCGAAGAACGTTATACCAATACCGGCAATCAAGATACAGATAATCTTGAAACAAATTCATATGACGACTCAGGAGATCGATCGCCGATATCATCACAATAGATTGTTGTCTATCCGGCTGACTGAAATTCTTAATCCATTTATACGATTCGCAAAAGAGTTTTTTTCTTAATTCTTCCGGCGGTTCAATACTGTCCAACATGTCCATGAAAACATCAAAGTATATGTGGAAGTCATTGGGAAAATTGGTATTTTGTTTATACTGTGTACAAAAAAATATTATATAATATAATATCAAATTAATGATATATATATATTATATAAGGTTACATATGCTTAGTTCTTCTATATAACTCTTATTATTTATTAATTAAATTTATAAATTGTTACTGTCAACTTTACCTGTTCAGATGCATCGGAATACAGTAGCCTAAAAATATAACTCAAACGTTTCTGCGATAGACAGCCATTTCCATTGTGTTTGACTATTTTACCATAGACACGTAATATCAATCTTCTTTCTGTAAAAGAGAATGGCATAAAATAATTATTTTTTATATATAATCTAAATTAAATTAATATTCACCTTTTATTTCCTCTTTTTTGTTGTTTTTAGGAAATGCTATAATAAATTTTTCCACTGTCTCACTAAGTCTTAAATCATGATCGCTGAATAGCTCTATCAATTTTGCAAAAACATTACAAGCAGCTTTCTTCGTATAATGAGAACATTTTATAGTCAGCGCTGACTCACACACATCCTACACATATTATACATGTATATAAAAAACCATTATTATAATTAAATCATATAAAATATGTATAAAAATATAGCATTAAATTTTCTTCAAAATACAATTTACTTAAATAACAGTAACCTAATACTAAATTCTAAAACATAAGTTATATTAACAATAGAGAGGAAGTGTGTTTGTGATTTATACAAGCAGAATTATTCATATTTCAGTATCTATATCTAAGGACAAGTAATGTAATCTATGCATGTTCCACACTATGTACAATCTAAGCAAATTTCACACATGCATTTGGTAATATGAATCCTGACAGTTGAGATAAGAGATCAAGTTTTTATTACATCATCATGTTATTGTGAAGTAGACACAAGTACAGAAGATATACCTTTTGAATAACATGATAGAGAGAAGTGTGAAAAGCATATTCCTGCATTGTCATTAAAAACTAAAGAACAAGCCCATGCACACACTCCAGAAATTTAAAAAAAAAAAAAAATCCATGCACCAGATTTATTTTCAATTTCTATTAATGTCTTTTGTATAATTTGTACCTTAATTTGAAGGATATATTGTGCAAAACACGAAGTTGTGTAAAAATTTTCGATAAAAAATTTCAGGAAATGGAATCCTTCTGTGAATGCATTATCAATCCATCTTTCCTCCACCCGTCTTTCAAGTTCACATTTGAGGAAACACAGCAAGCCATTACTTTTATCAAATATAGTATGTACAATTGATTCTAAAAAACAAATGCATATATATATATATATATAAATTATTACAATATTACTCTCTTAATCCTACAGTTACTAAATTTATTTGAAATTTCTGCAGAATGTCTAGCATCGTAATAAAGACTTTTCTTTGACATGATGAATATATAAAATAGTGCGTAGAAAAATTGTGGCGGTATTTATCCTACGCATCAAAGAAATTAAATCGGCTTTCACGATGCCGTGGATACAATAAATTATTACAATATTATATAGCTTTAAAATTTTAAAATAATAAGCCATGATATGAGCCAATTATATTTATAATTTTTTATATATAAGATACATTGGAATCACAGTACGATCAGAAGAGAGTGTTGATGAAATAATCCATACTTTAATAGAATTGTAATTTAAAGTTTAATGATTTAAAGATTTGCAGAATCTTAAAAATATTTGAAAACATGATAAATTACGATAAAATATTTATATATCGAGATCTTTTGATTTAGAAAAGGTTGAGTGCAAAGTTATTGAATAGAATCTCTCATTCAGATATAATGCGATCAAAGAGAGAGAGAGAGAGAGACGTTCTTGCACACAAAATAATAATATAATATTATTTTAAGGTATATATGTATACCACCGTTTATACATAATATGTAATTGTTATTAGTTACCGCGATGTTCAAGTGAAATAATCGCGAGAAATCCTTGACCACTCTTCAAATTGTTTGTCAAAGCAGCGAAATCTCTGGTGGAGATAGCCTGTTGAAATGTTTCTATAAAGTTTTGATAAGAATCCATTTTTAATTGCTATGCTCGAAACATCAAACATGCCGGTACGCGCAATACGACATACTACGCGTTTACTTTATCTTTATCATCATCTGTCATTCTGTCATCACCGCGAAACCGCGAACCGCGAAATGGGAGTATGGGAGGGATAAACTTTTCTAATGAAACTTTCGTGCGCATGCGTGAAATTATGGCTGTGGTCGGGAAGACGCTAGAAATGCTTCGAAGCATTTGATTGACCAATCAGAACAAAAAGAATAAAGATTTCTCTATTCTGATTGGTTAATGCAATGCTTCGAAGCATCTCTAGTGTCTTCTCGACCACAGCCTATTGAACACGTGACATCACAGATTCGTGCTAATTGTAAGATACTACGATTATACAGTCGTGAGAGAATATTATGAATCTTTTAATACTTTTAATGATAAGTATGGAACAAATTAAATAATTATAGTATGCATTTGTTTTATTTCATTGCAACATTTGTGATACTACATTATTTTGTCGTTTATAAGCTATTTGCTATTGTATTATTTTAACATTTATATGGTAAAACAAATATATATAATATTGTTTCAAGTTTTAATGGCTTCAAAAAATATTATTAATGTATAACAAAAGCTTTTTTTTATTTCTTGAAAATAAATAGCTTTTTAAAAATTATTTTTCTATTTTTGAATATAATATGGTTATTTCTGCCATATTTGATCTAGATCAATCGGCAAAAAATTGAAAATATATATTATTATATGTTATTTTTAATAAAAAGCACTTTGACACTAAAATTAAATTAAGAATTTATATTACATTCGTAAAATTTTTATTTGTATACGCATTTATTATTTTATTATTATACATATATATACATTATTGTACAATTTGTTACAAAAGAAATAATTGATTATTGAAATTGGAGATACAATAAGATACAAACAATGATAAAAATGTAGTACATAAATAATTTCATTGCCCGATCTTAATGTACAATTTGTTTATTAAAAAATAAGGTAGCCAAATTTCAAAAATCTAATACACAAGTTATTTTACGTTATGTATTCTACTATTAAAAGATTTGATTACATTTGCTTTAAATTTGTAACAAACATTTTTTTTATTTTTAGGATTAAAAACAGTAGAAAAGTCGATAATTTCGAAAAAATAGTAAGAAAATCATAAAATAGAAGAATATAAATTACCTTTTACTAGGATTATATCTTGTAATAAAAAAATCAACATATTTAAGTTTTTTTAAAAGTAATTTAAAACTAAGTAACTATATAAAGTTAAAATGTCAATTTATTTAAAATTAATTCATTGATTACATTAATTTATTAATTAAAAATTATTAACTTTAATTAATAAGTTTTGAATTTACTTTAAATTAATAACTTAAAATGCCAATTTTTCTTATTGTTATAATGCAGCAAAATTTGTTAGAAAAGTTCTTCATCTTATAAACAGATTGCATTGTTGATATATATATGTATAGTTTCAAGTTATTGAAAGTGTTTTAGCTATAGATAACTATAAGCTATAGTTATAGACTTTTATATCTATAACTTTAACAATATCACAGATTAATGGGGATGTTATATCAATTTGCCGTAATAACAATGCCGTTCATTGTTTAATGCAAACCTCAATAGATGACATATGGTAGCTGTTAAACACAATAGATCATTAATAATAATTACCCTCTTATATAAAACAAAACAAGAAAATAAAGAAAAATATTTAATTAAGAATATATTTAACAACACTATAAAATTATCTATAATAACTAAAAATTATACAAATTTAATATAAATGTAATAATGAATACAAATAGTAGTAAATATATATATAATGAATGTAAATAGAAAATATATTAGAAATATAAAAGAGTAGTTGATACTCACCTGACCTATCAAAAAACAGAGAAAGCAAATACTGTCATACAGTTTGACGTTGGGGTTCGCGAACAAATTCCCTGTTTTCATCACAAGGTTCTTGTGACGTAGTCTAATAAACAAACAATCCAATTAAAAGCAGTTTATCTAGTACATTTAGATGATATGTATATAATGCATGTAAATGTATTATATACATATGTATAATACATATGTATGTATAATGCGTTTTAGATCAGCAGTATTTCCTTCAAACCCTTACTTCTTTGTAATATATATTCGAAAATATTTTTAACTCATATTGTAATCGCATTTTTACTCACGTAATAAAATATCATTCTCATCGCCTCCCGTGTTCTGCGTCTTGCGAGCATATTATTGTACGTTTCTCTAGCGTCCCAAATACTACCTGGTTCAATGTCGTTTGCAGTAATTGTATATATACGAGAACGCATCCGCTGACAGTATTGTGCACAACAGAACAAATCGATTCTAAAGGTGACAGAAAGTTTTAATACTTAATTATACATGTAAAGTAATTTTTGCGAACATAGATAATCTAGTACAATACTGAAAGAATAAAAAAAATATCACAATAAAATTAAAGGTTATTAAAGAAAATATAAAAAATATAATTTTTAAAACATGTAGTAAAAGATGGTTAAGAACATTCGCCTTCATTTGAGATGAAATTGGTGAGAAATTTGTTGCGTAGGAATAAATATATCAAGTTTAGTGTTTTTTCAATCTCTCTAACAAAGTATCTCCGTAAATTCATCTGTAATTGCGTGAAAATTGCTTAATGCCACTGTCCAAAATTACTGAAAGATGGACAAGTCCGTTTTGATTCAGAGCAGAATCGTTTCTTAATCGTTTCCTTACCTTGCTCCAATCCCAAAGTGAGATGTCTGGTTGTGTACATACCGGTTGTGTGAATCGTTTAAGATATATAACTTGGATTACTCATCGATGATTGCGACGAGTAGAGAATGTAGAAGAGTATTTATATATATATCTGTAATTATTGATATGTTTTCCAAATTTATTTGAATATATCCGACTAAATAAACAGTTTAGCTAAATAGTTAGGACTACCGGAGTTATCGATAAATTGAAATATAGTAGCAGCAAGTTTTTGAAAAGTCATTGCATGTTAATAAGGAGAAAGGTGCGTGGCATTTATAACAGCCAAGTTTAAAGATTACTGTGCGAAAGAAGATATTATATCAGAAGATAACATATCATTATCATGATAAAAGCACCAAGAAGTAACAGATAGAAATTGAGCAACAAGATCGCAAATAAATTCCTACTTTGAAATCAGCGTTTGCTAAATTAATGGTACAAGAAAATAGAAAGATTAGATGCAAAGAAGTTTCAATAATATTTATTAAAATGGTACTTATATCAAAGTAATAACTTTGATAGAGCAAGCTATTCAGATTGAAGAATTTTGCATGATTTTAATAATCAAAATAATCACAAGATGTATTAAATATTCTAGAGAAAAATCAGATATATCATGATAAGAACCTCAGAGTACTTATGATTTATAAAGATGATTAAAGCATAATCAGTTTAATCTGAGATGAATCTGAATTGGATCTGAGATCGACAAAAAATATTTTAATCCTCATGTCATAATAGTATAAGTAGAGCAAAATAACCGGTTGATTGCGTGATAACCCACAGAAACAAATTTTTTAATGGCCAAGAATGACATCAAAAAATGGCCATCGAATAGAGTGTGATGAGGCACGATGATGTGATACCAAATTAAAGCGACTTGAAAAAGCAAAAGAGTAAGATAAAGAAATTTCGAAAAGAAAGAACAAATATGCTGAGTCAACCTGTTCTGATAAAACGATTATGTTTGCATGGCGTATCTTGTAAAGCATACAAAATAAGTTCCCATAACCATCCTTTTGCATATTCTTAACTTTTTTTCTCTTAATTTGTTAATAACTTTAATGACTTACTAATTAAAATCTTACATAATTATATGTATATGATTAGAAAATGTGTGTGCATAAGCGTTCATATTATATATACAAAGAATTGACTTACTTGATATAATCATTCTTAATAGCCATAATGATCAGGATCAATAGTAAAACTATTAATAGTGCACCTTGTATTACAGCTTGAGTTACCATTCTACGTTTTCTCTCTTTTCTATACATTTCTTGCATGACTATATATTTTTTCGGTAGAACTTTATTCTCATATTGAGTGCGATTTTCATTCTCTATACTTGTATTATTTAATATCGTATTCTGTACGGTATTTAATTCTGTAATATTTTCCGCATTGTACATCATATTTAATTCCATATTGTGTGTCTTACTTATTAATACCGTGTTTTTGGTATTGTTACTATTCGTCAAGTTCATACTCCTTACAATGTCTAGAAAAAATAATTATAAGATTTAAAAAGATAATTATTAATTTAGTATATATCCATCATTAATTTTGTTATAGTAATAAAAGTTTATTATAAATAAATGCGCGCTTATTATTAATATAAATCAAGATTACTAATAACAAATTAAGTTTATTAGTAAATCAATAGATCAATTTTTTAGATATGAAAATTTGTTGTTAGTAAATTAATTTTATTAATTAGCAAATTAAAGTTTGAACGATATAAAATTAAAGTTTGAACGATATAAAATATCATCTTACCGGGCATCAAAATTACGAAGACAATAGTCCATAATTTTTGCATTATAATGTGTAGTTATGGCTTAGGTGTCTCTTTAAAAAAACTTAATTGGAAGACAAATCTCCGCTTTTTTAATTAGATCGTTATTAGAATCGCAATTCCATCCTGTATTAATCATCTGAAATTAAAAACGTAATTGTTTTAGATGTTGAAATTGTGGAATGCATGGAATGCATAGAATGTAACAGTTTTACAGCTCACACAAATTTTTCGCGAAAAATAGATAGATATATACGAGAGATATATCTATCGTAATAAAATAGAAATAGTAATAAAAGATAATAAAATATATATTTAAAAAAAGAAATAAAATGCAATTAGATTAAAAACATTTCGTAAAATATTCATGTATACAAGTCAATTAGATGTAAATAATAATGCTTACTAAATTTTTCGCTCTTTTAAATTTTATTAATGGAAAACTCTAATTTCTACTTTACTTTATGCTGTTCTTTAAGTCTTTTTAAATACCCTTTTTATTTCAAATATTGTAAATTCACATGGGTATTAAAGTTTGAACGATATAAAATATCATCTTACCGGGCATCAAAATTACGAAGACAATAGTCCATAATTTTTGCATTATAATGTGTAGTTATGGCTTAGGTGTCTCTTTAAAAAAACTTAATTGGAAGACAAATCTCCGCTTTTTTAATTAGATCGTTATTAGAATCGCAATTCCATCCTGTATTAATCATCTGAAATTAAAAACGTAATTGTTTTAGATGTTGAAATTGTGGAATGCATGGAATGCATAGAATGTAACAGTTTTACAGCTCACACAAATTTTTCGCGAAAAATAGATAGATATATACGAGAGATATATCTATCGTAATAAAATAGAAATAGTAATAAAAGATAATAAAATATATATTTAAAAAAAGAAATAAAATGCAATTAGATTAAAAACATTTCGTAAAATATTCATGTATACAAGTCAATTAGATGTAAATAATAATGCTTACTAAATTTTTCGCTCTTTTAAATTTTATTAATGGAAAACTCTAATTTCTACTTTACTTTATGCTGTTCTTTAAGTCTTTTTAAATACCCTTTTTATTTCAAATATTGTAAATTCACATGGGTATTTAATGGGGGGACCAGCCTCTCGATTTTTATTACGTATTTTTCTCTCGGTATTTAAAAAAAATTGGTGAAACGACGAAATTTCGCTTGGAGAAATCAGGATGTTCTATGAAAGTCAAAAACTTCGCGCAACGGCATAGTACGTTATAAGTCAATAATCAAATATAAATATAATAATAATAATGATCAATATTGTATATATAGGATCAAGTTTTATCAGTATTCATTGGATAAATATATAACTTTCAATTAATATTATAATAATTACGATAATTATGCTTTTTAAAGATATCCAATTCCCCATTATTTTTTTTTATCAAATTATGTATTACCATAGAAACAACGTAAAATTAAAACGAAATATTTGACAAACCCATTAAATATCATGAAATGCAAAATAATAATACTTGTATATAATTAGTGATAACTATCGGTGCTGATCAAGTCTTGACAGGAAAAACACGTGTTCCATTGGTCGAATGGTGGCCATATGCCAGCTGTTCTTATCACATGAACAATTGTAACAAATAACACGAAACTAGCGGCACTAAAGACAGGGCACTAAAATAAACACGTGGCAATTAATATATAAAATAAAATGTTATCCATCAAAACGCGGTTTTGTGTATTTTACCAGTTAAAGAGGATGCACACTTGTCTCTGCGCCCTTCGACATACGCAACGAGAGAACAATGACGAATATTCGTTTGTAAATGCGTGCAAGGTCCTCGATTTCAAATCGGCGCATTTGCATAGACTCTACTGTGGTTCTATTAGGGCGAAATTATCTGTCCTTGGACATGCCCGTGTCGAATTTTGCCTGCTTACAATCTTTACCTCGCCACGAATCTCGAAACAGTGCGAAGGTTCGCTCTGTCCCAACTATATGCCGGATTTTTTCAGCTTGGACCCAAGGATAAGTCGCATTTCCGTTTGTCGCATAACAATCCGATCTACTAGAGCTAACGGATTCGCTCCCGAATTTTTTTCAACCAATACCCCGAGCGATACCTGAATCAAGACCCAGCCCTCTATGTTGCCCATTGTTATTGTATACAAAGTATGATGTCCCGCTGAATTGCGGGTCGTCACGCTCGTCATCGTCAGCATTTCCTAAACTTTTTTACGTTTGGAGAACATTGCATGATCATTTATTTTACATTGTTAATATTTTTGGGAATATATATACATGTAATTGCTTATGTGAAATGACCTCATAAGTATAAATCAAAAGAAATAAGATGATCTCTCTCTTTCTCTCTCTCTCTCTCTCTTCAATTTATTCTTCTATTTCATTTAATCTATAATACTAAAGTTGTTTATTTACAATAAACTTCCAACTTTGATATACATATATCTTTATAGGAACTGACTATTAATTATAAAATAATTATTATTATAATTATATAACTATTATTTATAAGATAAAATATGAGTGAGAAAAGAAAAAATTATATGCATATCACTAATGTACATATTTACAAAGCCAAAATCATAATTCAAGTAAAATATTTATAAATCTCATTCGCTAGTCATTTTATACATATATGATTATGTAATCATGTGCAGCAACTGTGGAGTAGTATGGGAACACTCTCCCAAATACTGAGCTCTTTTTCTCTCTCTCTCAGCACAAACTGCCTTATTAAGAAAGAAATACACTCAGTTACTCGATGATAAATAAATGCTGATGAAAAGTTCTTTGAATATTTCCTGTCCAAGCTTTTTTTTATAGGAAATTTACGTTCTGAAAAATTCGTATAGAAAAATATGTTAATAATACGAAAGTTAAAATTAAGAATACGGACTGTTAAAAATCAGGCTGTTAGAAATACAGAGATGTTTGCAGCAAGTCACCAAATTCGTGAAGAATATGCCAGTGCGTATCAGTATGTATCGAGATATCACACAGGTATTATCTTGCGCGCTTTTCTAACAACCAAAATTGATTAAAGTTCGTGGGCGAAATGGATTATTCTTTAGCAATTGCGATTTCTGTCGGTTGCTGTTCAATTGTCTACGCTTTAATAAGATACTACTATTCATCTAATGATAAAAGGGATAAATTATTAGAGTTATCGGATATTTGGTGGACGCCCGGTACCGAAAACTCTGTCAGCAACGATATCAAACCATACGAGATCGCTTTCTCCGAAGAGGTAATTCGTCGTTAATCAACACGATTTGACATAATTAAAAAGGCTGATTTAATAGGAAAGCTCGAATAAATTAAGCGGAAAAAAAATTATTATTTCCAGCTCGTGAAAGATTTGAAGTATCGATTAAAGCATACTAGATCTCTGACACCGCCGTTGAAAGACGTTGCCTGGAATTATGGTACTAACACGGATGTTCTACGCAAATTTTTAGATTACTGGGCAGATGATTACAATTTTCAGGAACGTCAGAAATTTATAAATCAACATCCACATTTTAAGACTAATATCCAAGGTAAAGAATATATATAATCGTTAATAGAGAAAAATCACAGTAAGTCACATTTTTTTCGAGATTCCATGTATTATTTTATAGCTTATTGTTTTCAATATTCAATCTACCATAATGAAAATTAATAATTATTCTCTCTCTTTCTTTTATCTTCTATATCAAAATATTATTAAGATATATTAATGTAAAATATATATGTATTTTTGAAAACTCGGTATTGTTAATCCGAAAATTTATGCGGAAAAAGAATGAGAAAATGATAATATAATATTTATTATAAATTGAATGATTATTTCATTGAATAATATGTAATGTAAAATATATACTTGCAAAATTTATTTTTTTTTAAATATTGGCAAAATATCTAATGGCGCGCGTATACCCAAGCAGAACAGAAAATCACAATAATATCAAATGACATCAAAATGACATCGAAATGACGTCATAATGACTTTTGATAGTCATTATGATGTCATTTTGATGTTATTGTGATTTTCTGTTCTGCTTGGGTAGCATCGTAAACGTGATCATATTATTTTTAAAAATATTAAATAAAGTAGATTTTTTGATTCCATTTAACTAAAATATTTTAATTGAGTATTTTTAATTGCATGGAAATTAATCATACCGGAAAAATTCTACTACAAAAATATTACAAAGTCAAAATAATTTTCATATTATAAGCGGTTGAAGGTAATAAAAACCATAAAAATTAAAATTAGAGAGAGATTTGTATAAGAATTTCCTTGATAAGAATCAAGGAAATTAGAGATAGGACTGAATTTGGAGTCTTAACGCGATACTAGGTGTGTAAAAATAAATTTATTTATTTTTTTTTTTTTTAGATAAGCTCTATCTCTAATATTCTTGAAGATAACAAACTTTGTTCAATCGTTAGCAATTCAAATCTGTAAAACAAAATCCACAAATTCAAGGCCGTATAATTATGCACCTGCGCATGCCACACACAATCATATTATTATTTCAACTCCTACAACTAATTTTGATTTATTTATAGCTGATCTTGTTTTTCAATTCGTTATGCATAAAGACCATGTAACAATTATTATAAATTAGAATGAAATTTAAATCTTTAATGTTGTATCCGCCTACTTTCGCTACGTTCATTATTTCTTAACATTTTTAAACTATATATAAATTACTATGTATCCTGTATTTAATTTAGGATTGGACATACATTTCATTCGCGCGAAACCAAGTAATGTGGACGAAAAACGGGTCTTACCACTGTTAATCTTACACGGATGGCCCGGCTCCATAATAGAATTTTACAAGATCATCCCTTTATTGACAACACCGAGACCAGAGCACGATTTCGTATTCGAAGTGATAGCGCCTTCCTTGCCTGGATTCGGTTTCTCCAGTGCAGCTACAATACCTGGCCTCTCGTACATTCAGATGAGTGTGGTCTTGAAAAATCTCATGTTGAGGCTCGGTTATGATAAATTTTACGTACAAGGGGGCGATTGGGGCGCGTCAATCACCAACACTATATCCACTCTGTTTCCGCAACAGTAAGATTATTGCCCTCTCTAATTATATCACTAAATTAAAAAATGACTAGCATCGATGTGTAAAAATTGTGAACGTATTATGCAAATTGTAGTGTGCTGGGTATGCATTCCAACATGTGCTCGGTAATGAAAAGACAGGTTCTAATGAAACAAATGCTGTACGGGTATCTTTCTTCTTTCTTGCCTTGGACGAAAAAAACTGGCAAATCACAAGCATTTTCATACAAAAGTTTCTTAGTAGAAACCGGATACTTTCATATCCAAGCTACAAAGCCAGATACAGTTGGTATGTATTGCTATTAATATAATTATATACAAAAAGAAGTTAACTTTTTATATATTTTGTTGAATAAAAATTGAAGATTTTTTAAATACATTCTTGTACTGAACGAGTGACATCAATATCTTTAACATTGTGTCGTCATCATGTGTTTCAGGGGTAGGGCTAACTGACTCACCTGCTGGTTTGGCAGCATATCTTATCGAGAAATTTTCGACTGGTACGAACTATTCTTATAAATACAGGGCGGATGGTGGATTTCTGGAAAAATTTACATACGATGAGTTGATTGATAATTTAATGATTTATTGGGCATCCAATAACATTACTACAGCCATGAGAATATACGCCGAAATGTTTACCAAGGAAAATTTAGTGTTGGGAAATCTCCTAAATTCGTATGTATATAATGATCACCGCGAATTACAACAATTCTATTATACATACCATTGTAGCATGATGATTTTCGTAATAAGTTGTAATTGTTAAAATTGGCATGTTTTTACAGAACATTAGTAAAAGTTCCCAGTGCGTGTGCGCAGTTTCCCAATGAGATGATGGAGCAGCCCCCAAATTTACTCAGAACACGATTTGTGAATCTTTTACGCGTTACTAAAATGCCTCGTGGTGGTCATTTTGCAGCATTCGAGGAGCCTGAATTACTTGCAAATGACATATGGGCCTCTATTAACGAGATGGAAGCATGGAACAAAAAACATAATGAAAATTTGTGATTTAATTTAACGCCTGCACGTGCGCACACAAGAATAAGAAAAGTTCAAACTTGTATTCGGATCTTTAGAAAAGTTTTCAGAAACAATTTATAAAAGAAAGGTAAGAAATAATGTAATGAAAGAGAAGAAGAAACAGCGCAAAAAAACATATCAGAGGAAAGCCTGAATTTAAAGTATAATTTTTCATTCGTTTTTTCATAGATATATAACTATACATGTATTATTCCAAGCCTTTTTCTATTTTAAAACAGCAATATATCTTTTAGAGATATGTAGATTCTACTAATATAATGTTAATACTTTTATATATACAGAATATATATAGTGATGACTTATTTTTAAGACTTATTTTCAGAAGTTTTCTATTAAGAAAAATGATGTATTTTTTGTATAAATACAGATAAATGCGTTTCAATAATTAAATGTTGAAAAAAACCGAATAAATATATTATTTATCTCATTTTTCTCAGTGCATCTTATGTGAGTTGTATGATTTTGCGAGATGCAATCCTGTTTATAATTTTCTCAGTTATTTTAATCTATATATAAATATTCTGACATAATTATATACATTCTTATATATAATTATATCAAAATATTTATATACATTATTAATGTATATTTTATATGTATGTTTTTTTTTATGTTATACACGCAAATAGAATATCTATTTATAATAAAATTATAAATAGATATCCTATACCGAATTTTGTCGTGAATTATGGATCTAAAAATCTAAAGTGAACTGTAGTATATATATATATTTATAATAAAATTATAAATAGATATTCTATACCGAATTTTGTCGTGAATTATGGATCTAAAAATCTAAAGTGAACTGTAGAGTTTTAGATCTACTTGGGTTAGGTTCCAAAACGGTGTGACATTTCCAACCCGAGGAAAATTTTACTCCATGGCCGGTCTGGAATCAATCAGAAAGATTCGAAAAAGTTCCGGAACGGCCATCGAGTAAAATTTTTCTCGCAGAGGACGTTTTGAAACGTAACATCAATAACGACAGATAACGATAAAGAAAGCATATAAAAAGATCATAAAAGTTGTCTCCTGCGGGAATCACGCGGTGAACAGTAAACAAGCACTACGAAACGAACGTAAACTACAAAAACACTAGTGCATCTGCGTATACTATTTGCACGTTTCATTGGTTCGGTTCCAGCCAATCAGTCGGTCGGATATTACAAGATGGCGACTTTTGCGAAAGCGCCACAATTATTATTTTCTTCAATCAATCTTTTTTCAATGAAAATTACATATGGGCCTGCAATCGATCCGATATATTTTGTATGAGAATTTATTTTCTTGATGAGAAAGAAAGCGCGTTTTTTCTCGCAACGCTCGAAGATAAATTTACATATATTTCGATTTGAAAAAGATGACAAGATGCAGAATTGAAGAGAACGGATTTTTGCCCTGTATTTCTAGCTTTGCCGACGAGATCGATGACATTTTTTACGCAGAGCCTCAATTTTCATCTGTCATTTTTGCGCGAGATAACGCGATATTGGCAGCTCTGTCTAGCTGTCACCAGCTATCACTGTCACAATACAAACATGGCGACAATGATGTTCATTTAAAGAGCAGCGACGCGTTTTTACTTGCCTTTTGCTACGACGAAATTGTATTGTTATCGGCGATAACGAAGGTGCATCATGGGCAATGCCGATACAAAGTTGAATTTCCGAAAGGCCGTCGTGCAATTAACGTCAAAAACTCAGGTAAACAAAAAAATAGCTGCTTGTTTACGTGTCTGATCGGAACATATGATCGGTTGACAGATCGATAGCAGAGCAAAATTTTCTTAACACTATTGTCGATCAAAAAGAGAGAATCTATCACAAATCCAGCTGAAACATCTATATTTTTTATTATTAAATTTGTGACTGAACTTACGATTAAATACTACAAGCAAAAATATATTATTATTTTCTGCAAGACGCAAAAGAATTTGTGAAGGCATTCGACGTTAAATATATGGCTATTTCTCAGGATATCTCTTATTTGATTATTTTATATATATCTTGTTTTATATATTTTAAGACCAAGATCTACCACATTTTGTCAAAAGATTGATGTTAGTGCAAAGATTATAAAAACATCATTATGCTTTTATAAAATTTGTTGAATTGTAATAGTGTAATAACACAATAATAGTGAATGTAATAATAAAAGAAAACTATAAAAATTGTAATATGTAATAATAAAAAGTAGCCCTTTTCTCTATATATAATCTATATGTAAGCTATATTTTAACATTAAAATTAATGTATTGTTATGATACTGAAGAGATTGTTACTAGAAAAATATTATCTTTCTTAAAATATTTAAATTGTTATTAATATATTATTTTATACAATTTTTATTTAAAAATTACATAACATGTATCAGTATTTATACATAATATATATTAATATATATTAATAGGTGATTGATTCATCGGACGATATTTTCTGGGATCAATTCTGGTCCGAGAATGTGACTAATGTGCAAGACATATTCACTCTGATCCCAGCTCCGGAAATTCGTATTTTAAGAGAAGAGGCGCCTTCTAATTTGGCTACGTTATGTTACAAAGCAGTTGAGAAGTTAGTTAAGGCAGTGGATAGTAGTTGTAGGACTCAACGGGAGCATCAAACTGTCTTGAACTGTTGCCGCTTGTTGACACGTGTATTACCTTACGTATTTGAAGATCCTGATTGGAAAGGCTTTTTCTGGTCCAGTTTACCTGGCAAAGATGATGAGGAGAGTTTGCCATTGGCGCATTCTCTGTTGAATGCTATCTGCGTAAGATATTTAAAATAGATAATTGAGTATTCCATAAAGTACATGTATATATAAAAATTTAGAAATTTTTTAGTAGAAAAATGAATGACAAATTATATATATATATATATTACTTTAAAAAAATTAATTAACGATAAATTCGGTCAACATTTTTTTACACAATACATGAAAACCTATTCTAAACAATATATATTTTTGTTTTAGGATTTGTTGTTCTGTCCTGATTTTACAGTAGCTGCAAATAGGAAATCAGGCCCGGTAAATTTTATTAGCTGTTGGAGTTTTTATAATAAGAAGGAAGGGCGGAACGTATTGTTACGCGTTGTTGTTTTTGCAGGACAAAGTCGACGAATTGCAATCGATAGATAGCTGTGAATACATATGGGAAGCGGGAGTGGGTTTCGCGTATTCACCACCGAGGCATCCCATTCTGGATTCGAATCGCACGGAATTGCTGAAACTCTTGTTAACATGCTTCAGCGAAACCATGTACAATCCGCCGATGGATCCATCGATCACGCCGAATAAATGGATTCAACATTTGACTAGCAGCGAAAACAGGTACAATTCATTTCTCTTATTTTAATTAATTACCACATTAATATATTATATTTATATAATATACATATTCTCTTGATTAAATTCTCTTGATATATTATTCTTTTATTATCTATTTATATTTACTTACAAAATATCGTAGTTGATATTGTATATTTTTGTTAATAATTTATAGATGCTAATTGTACATGTGTGTGATTTTTCGCAGACACGCATTGCCGATGTTTACCTCGCTGTTAAATACGGTATGTGCGTACGATCCCGTTGGTTATGGGGTACCGTACAACCATTTATTGTTCGCCGATTCCTTGGAACCGCTGGTCGATGTCGCGCTGCAAATCTTGATTGTAACATTGGATCATGATACCACCGGCGGAGCACCATTAGATGAGGGGGCAGTCGGAGACAATTTGTTCATCAATTATTTGAGTCGAATTCATCGTGATGAAGGTGAATTTATCTTATGGCATTTTATATATTTTAACTATCCCAAATATTCTTTTATTATAGCGAATTCTTTGTTCGATATAGAATCACTTTTTATGCAGCAAAAGTTATTTTTTTTACAACACTTTTAACATCCATTTTTTCAAATATTTTTCTGTGATTAGACTCGAATTAAAGTTTTGTCAAAGTAATACATACTTGAAATTAAATGAGAAATAAGGTTTTGATTTCTTATGTTCTAAAGATTGCTTGATGTTCTCTGTAAAGAATATATTTTTAATTATTTATAATTAAGAAAATTATTAAAATTTTAATACTTTTATAAAAAAACTATCAACTTTTAAATGGAGAACGAATTTGTATAAGTGCAAAAAGATATAAAGAAATTTGAATGTATTGTATAAAAAAAGAAGATTGAAACACATTACTTTTTTTTCCTACAGATTTCCAATTTGTCTTAAAGGGTATTACCAGACTATTGAACAATCCATTGATGCAAACGTATCTGCCAAACTCGACCAAGAAAGTGCATTTTCATCAGGAACTACTGGTTTTCTTTTGGAAGATGTGTGATTACAACAAGAAGTTCTTATATTATGTATTAAAGAGCTCAGACGTCCTCGAAGTTCTCGTGCCGATTCTTTATCATTTAAACGATTCACGCGCTGACCAATGTAAAATTTTATTCCCTGTTTTTTCACTCAATCATTTACATCGGTGATTCAATTCAACACATCAAGATGTTTTAAAAAAAATTTTATGTAAAATATGTTGTGTGTGTAGGAAATAATATTCTTTCTGTAGAGATAATATACGAACACTATCTTTCTTCAACAGAGCATAGAAGCATAATATAAATTCGAATGTTTTCTAAACCATATATTTTAATTATAGAAAAAGAAAACATTAATTGATATTTTCTTCAAAGAAAAAAAATATTTTTATAGTATCTGATGATTGAATTGAAGCAGCGATATGTAAATATGAATTATATCACATTAGTGTTTTTTTTTTTAAATTAATTTGGCTAATTATCTACTCAGCTTTCTCAATTTTTCAGCACGAGTTGGTTTGATGCACATTGGTGTATTTATTTTGCTTCTTTTGAGCGGAGAACGCAATTTTGGAGTGAGGTTAAATAAACCGTACACAGCTACAGTGCCTATGGACATTCCAGTTTTTACAGGTGTGTCATTTGTATATATTATATTTAATTTTAAGAAATAATCAGATTTAATGCAAAAAGCATTAAAAGCGTTAAATATAGTTTGAACCGCGTTTTCGATTGTAGAGTTAATTATTATAAACATAAAATCGTTTTTTAAATTTAATTTATTTATCGTTAAATTCTTTTTTAAGTTTTTAATTTCTTAATATTTTATATATAGTCACAGTTCTAGCCACAGTTCAAATATAATTTTAACGCATTTAAATTGTTAGTATGCCAAAGAATTCATTCTCTTTGTTTCAGGAACGCACGCCGACCTTTTAGTTACTGTATTCCACAAAATTATTACCACTGGTCATCAGAGACTGCAACCGTTATTCGACTGTCTGTTAACAATTCTAGTCAATGTTTCGCCATACCTCAAAACCTTATCCATGGTGGCGAGTACAAAACTGCTGCATCTTTTGGAGGCATTTAGTACGCCATGGTTCCTTTTCTCAGCAGTCACTAATCACCACTTGGTGTTCTTTTTGCTCGAAATCTTTAACAATATTATTCAGGTAATGTTTTCGCGTACAAAGTGCTTTTCTAAATATATACAATTGTTTTTTTCAGTCACATATATAAAGAGTTTCAAAATAAATATAAAATCGATACATAGCATTATCGCTTATAAAATTTAAAACGAACTTCCTTTTTATTAAGTTTCACTTCTCCTTTCAATACGCTAGTCTATAATTTTAAGATTTGCAAAAATATAAATACTTTTTTTTGGAGATTATATTTTGTTTTATTCTTATGTATTTTTACTATATAGACTATAATATCAAGAAAAAAGTTAATGTGTGGTGGAGTTTTGTATGGCATATTAGATCTGCCGTTCATGTTGTTTTCGGGTTTTCAGTATCAATTCGATGGGAACAGTAATTTAGTGTACACTATAATACGCAAGCGGCAGGTATTTCACGCGCTCGCAAACTTACCCAGTGATTGCACTACGATTGCAAAGTCTCTCAGTAAGAGACAACGTCGTCATATGCCTGCAAGCACGTCTAACGAGAACGTCAGTGAAACCGCGATGGAAGGATCGCGTCCCGCGCAACCCGCCGAACCTGGCACTTTGAAGGCGTCGCTATTGGAGACTCCTGGTGAGTCTTTCTTTGTACGTGATCTCGCAATTAGGTTCAAGTGTTTTTTTTTTTCAGACTGTTTACGATACATCATAGACGTAAAACTTCTATCTCAATTTTCATATATTATTAATTCAAGTGCATTGGTTGCAGGTATCGAGAAAATGACAGAGAAAGAATCGGCGCATCCATTGAGCCCGTCAGCCAATATCGATATTGGTAAATCTGTTAGTAATCTATCAGAAAGCAAGACAGACATCGCGGAGGAATCGATGAACGCGACCAAAAATTCTGTAGTTCCGGTAAGAAACAGAGAAAGAGAGATTACGGCAGATACGATAAACAAATATCGATAATAATAATAGAAATTTGTTTGATGCGCAGAAGGGTGGCATTCGTGTGGCTGAACAAGCGAATGCCAATGTGGATAACACGAATCAATGGGTGCCGTCCAGCGAGTGGGTATGGCAGTGGAAGAGCAAGCTTCCGTTACAGACTATCATGCGACTGCTCCAAGTCCTTGTGCCGCAAGTCGAGAAGATTTGCATTGACAAGTGAGTATCCTCTGATTCGATTTTTTAATTTCAGAAAAAAATATAACTTAATGCATCGAGAAATCAAAATTCTCATGAGAGAAAACCTTTTCACTTATACATTTAATTATTATTGGTAATTATTTTTAGCTTATTTATACATTTCCCTTATTTACTCTCTGATACAATCTATTTAATTTAGTAATAAAATATAGTCCAATCTGAATAATTATTATCTTAATTATCAATCTTTTACACAGACATGTTTTATATTCTTTTATCATATTGCGAATAATTAAAACATCCATAAATTAAATAGACATAAATCGAAAATGGTTTCGGACTTGAGTGCTTTGTTTCAATAGTTAAAGAATTTTCGTACGAGAAATAACAACGGTTGTAATCACATTTTCACTTATATTCTCTTTTATCAATCTTATTATTAGGGGACTGACAGACGAGAGTGAGATCTTGAAGTTCCTGCAACATGGCACCCTGGTCGGCCTACTACCGGTGCCGCATCCTATTCTCATCAGGCGGTATCAGGCTAACGCCGGTACGACCGCATGGTTCCGTACATACATGTGGGGCGTTATATATCTAAGAAATGTCGAACCTCCCATATGGTACGACACGGATGTCAAGCTGTTCGAGATTCAGAGGGTCTAGATAGCGAGAGACGCGTTATCATTCGCGCTCGAAATACTATTTTATTGGCAGTGCGCAGAAAGGTGAGTCTCGTCGAACTCATTATTGTGTACGATACAGAGCCGTTCCTATAAATATTAATTAAATTTTCAAGAACAAAATATGTGACACGCTTTTGTATAAGAACTCGAAGAGATATAAAACTTCATTTTTTCTCATACTTTTAAAATAAATAAGTTAAAGTAAAGAGATAATTAGAAATGTGGAATAAATTCTTTTGAGGTTTAAAAAATGTATTATGAGACCATTAGAATCCTAGAATTTCAATTAATTGAAATTCAACTCATTGCCCGTCTCTTTCGAGATTATTTATTTTCGAGATTATTTAAGTGGTTTCATTTAAATAATCTCCAAAAAAATTTAATGATTTTCTCAAATACATTTTTAATAAGCAAGAAACGGAAAGAATCGAATGTCAACTTTGATCAATATTTATGCAAAGAGACACGTAACGAGATAAAGAGCGGTGTTGACAAAGAACGTGTTGAGTCACGTGCACGCTTCACCTCGTTTCTGATTACTTTTTACACGGCGAGAGCCTTCAAAATACTTTCATCTTGATGTAACATACATAAACCGCGTACAAGATTGTAAGCGTAGTTTAAAATCGATATCATATGATTTATTATTATTATATCCTGAAGACTGTAATCTCTCATTTGTATCATAGTAATATATGTACCGTTAGTTATAGTGTGGAAAAGGCGTGTGTATATCGTCGGTCTTAAGGAAAAATACACTAATTAAATTAGACTAGCAGAGATAATGAGAAAAGCATATGCGCTGTGTGACTATAAATAAAAATTTATATTTTAAACTTTGCTTTTACATTTGGCATTTTATATATATATATTTACATATACATTTCGCTATTATAAATTATTTATATTTTACATTTCTACATTCTTTATACTTTATATCATTAATATTCTAAATGGTGAGAAATAGTTAAGAATATTTTTTATATGATTATTTTTTTTCAAGAAAAGATTTTTGATACGATTGTTTCGTTAAGACCAGCGATATCGTAGGACGATTATCATTATCGGAGTCAGTTAATCCATCTTTCGCGACGTGTACATGAAGCTACGCTTTACGAGGGAGAACCTTTATTCGCGTTTTTGCACCACATTGTCGTATGTTCCGCTATGTACAACTGTAAAGATATAAACTGATAAGATAGATGCGAAGATAACACACTTATTTATAATGAAAGAGTACTTGAACACGCTTTCGCGAAAGATATATTATATTTGTAACTATAAGTTGAGAGAACACTTCCGGGTCTGCTCTTATTATATTCACTGCAACACCACGTGGCCTTTCTTCTTTCTGTCTCCTGAGCGCGAGTTCATTTTTAGAGGAGTGTAAGTAATAAGAGAAGGCCCGATGAAAGAAAAAAAAGAACGGTTTTTTTTAACTTTTTTGAAACCTTGCGTGTGGCAAATCGACTGCATTTTTCTTAAACTATAACGCAAAGAACTGATCTTAGATCTATTTGCTCTTCCTAGCTGCACTCTCTTAGACTTTCTACGATTCAAGATAAAACGAATGTGTATTCAGGCATTCAGGATGATAAATCCTTCAGGAAACGGCTATGAATACAGTTCTAAGAAAAAAAGGAAAATAGCAAGATAAATAGAAGTAAAATTCACATTATACAATTTTGATTATTTCTTCCATCTTTTTCAAGATACAAATTGATCGATAATTTATCGTTAGGAGTAGATAAAATCCAAATAAATTATAATATAAATTGGAATTTGTTCTAAATTTTTAGGATTTTTAGAAATTGCTTTCTTATTTTTAGATGAAAACGCGAGGTTGTTCTCAAGTGCAGTTAGAAAGGACTATATCTTTTGTACATCGTAGTACAATTATGACTTGTAGTAACGAAAAACGTTCACAAACACGAGATCTCACATCAGTATGTATTATATGTACTTGCCCTTAAATATATACAGAATTATGACATAAAGAATCATTTACATGCATTGCATACACACTTTCTTTCTCTCTCGCATTCATAGAAAAAAAGAAATATATAAAATCGTATTACATTTCACGCTTGTAACTTTCTAACATCTCCGTCGTAAATTAGCGCGAGACGCTGCATGCGCGCTTACATATATCGTGAAACCACGCGATTTAAATCGTACGTATGTATATGATATTCGGTAACGTTTGTGCATGTTTGATGAACAGGTAGTTGCACCTGCTTGAAAACTGAAACTGTACGTCAAACGTGCCTATTATTAGCTGCTTATCGTAAGTAACGGCGATCGAATCGTGCGTTTTGCAAACTCGATACCTCGACTCGAATCGCATGTTTAAATTTGTGCGCTTCTTTTCTTTCATATTGTGTGTATGTGTGTGTGCGTGTGTGTGCTGTATGTAAGTAACAATAGTCCTCTCGCGTCTTATGAAAATAACGAGGTAATCAAACGTAACGATTCAGCGAATTCTTGGAATAATTATACATATTTAAGGAAGTCCTAAGATCGGAAGAGTTTACGACCTGTGTCGCGCTAAGCTAAAGTTAAGTCAAATATATCACACAATATCTCGAAGTATAAAACATTAGAATACAGTTTACCCGCACCACAAACGTAAATTCGGTGGCGGAGCGCGGCTCCTCTCCTCTCCCCCGCTCCCTCGTATAATGCCCACTAGAAAATATAGCCGCGCGTATCTTTTTCCGAACCTCTTGACTTCCCGTTGTGTTGTCGATGTGTTATCGTCATTGCGTTCTTATCACAGACGTGAAAGTTAATACTAATCCTAGAGAATTGATTTGCGCCACCTTGAGTGTAGCGGAGACACGAGAATGTCGCGAAGGAAGAAAGGTTTTGGACGAGTCCGTCCTTGAATTTCACGCTGGTCCGGCGATTTCATCGCATACCTTGTCGTAACTGGGCGGCGGCGCCTCGTCCGAGAACGTAGGTGGCAGCGGCGGTATCAGGATGGCGATGTGATAGGGTGGCGGCGGTGGATGCTGCCTTACCGCCGTTGTTGTCGACATCGTTGTCGTCATTCTGCTGACGACGGTCTCGCCGATACCAGATGCGTTTGTCAGAGCGGCCAGGTGCTCCTCCTGCATGCGAGTACTGTGCTCCGGTCGACTGCCATGATGATAATGGCTTTGATCATGACGCCGGCAGAAGATCGAGTACAGACATGCTGATAGCAGTAGTATCAACAGTCCGCAAAACATGAGTATCTCCAAACCTGGCCCCTGTTAACACGGAGATAAGAAATAACTAATTAACAAAAAGAAAAAGAATCGTAATCGCAAATCTCATAAACAATTTGGCATAATACAATTTTTTTTATATAAAGCTTGTCTGTTCGCTTGTTTTGTTATTTTTTAATAACAAATTCTTTGAAATGCTTATGTCTCCATTTACCGCGACTTTTTATGTTTTTGTCTTATGAAGATTTTATGAACTCTTATAGCCATTCCTCTTGAGACTTCTTTAATTAATTTGTAATCAATTTTTCTTTATTGAATTTTTATGTCAAAAAATTTTCTATATTAAATATTTTTGTAATGGACCTTCTCGAACTTATAAAATCCTCTTTCAAAGTAAGATATAAAGATACTTACCCTATAACCGAAGTAGAATTTGGCGGCCGCCACGAAACCCGTCGCTAGGACGAACGTGATCCAGACGGCACAACGTAATCGGTAGCCAGCCAGTTCGGCGTCACTGAATTCAAAGAAGCCCAGTAGATTTCTGTTGGTGCCGTTCGCACCAGTCGTGTTGGATAGAATCAGTTGATTGTTGCTGGCGTCAGTGACGTTGCTGCGAACAATGCGTTAGACCAGAGACGATTTAATACAGCCAGCCATATTTTTTTTTTTTTTTTTTT